GATCGGCTAGTAACTAGTGAACTCGTTAACCAGGTGAGGTTCCCATAGAAATACACTATCATTAAATTTAATAAAACCAGACTTTTAGTGATTTGATCATTTTACTTTTCAATTCACCCAACTAGGGTTCAGAATGCACATTCAATTCCAACTGATTAACTTGCTGTGGGCTGTAAAGCTTATCATTATTTGTTTCAACAAGTTTGCCCCCAGGCAAATATTTACAGTAGATAGAAGTTGTGTAGCAAGTTTTGCTAATGCTGCTGCCTAGGATGATATCACTTTTCAGACAAACAGTCAGGCCATTCTACGATGACCTCTTGACCAGATTTGAGCACATAGTGTTTACGGAGACTTTTTACACTTCAAAAAGTTAACAGTTATTTCTTAATTGAACTCAGCTAATACAATATATCTAACATCCCTCGAGAAAGTGAGGCCAGCGATAAAGTGATAACCGAGTGGTGACCAGACTCCAAAAACGAATACTATTTGCAAAACTCCTCTCCACTCAAGCTGTAAAGAAACAATACTATGAAGTATGGATTCCGAGTGAGAAAAATTGTTTTTCCAGTGAAATTTATCATTTCAAATTATATATCTAGCTGCTGTTGATAAACGTACAGTATATAGTCACAGCATTTCATCATTTTATTAGAAATAATTCATGACTTACATGTACTTAGTGCATTGCATACATAAGTTGCTTTATATGATTTGATCCCTATGGGAAAAAAACAAGTCAGTCTTAAGCATTGAGGTATCAAAAAAGGTGTGAAATAATGAAATAACTTCTTTTATTCTAGAATAATTTAGGCTGGAAATTCTTCAGCTGTGAAATTCAATCCAAGTTAAATAATTATTTTACTTATATAAAAATGTACCGAGAATATGAGACGAAGGGAATTCGGGACCATTAAAAGTCCCCCGGGGACTAATGAGAAAAAGCACGAAAATCCAACTTGAAAATCAGTAAATAAGAAGGATAGAAAGAAAGAGATGCATATAAATAAGTGGGTAGAGAGAGACAAAGAGATTGACAGAGATAAATAGACAGGTGAACCATGACTGTCATATGATAGGAAGATCCATATTAGGGTGATACAACTGTCTAGTGCTCCGTGGCTTTCAATGATTCTGCATCTGATATCGATTTGTGATGAAGTCTATTTTGGAATCCTTAAATTTCCCCAAACATCCGGACTGAATTATTCAATTTCGGCTATTGTGAGTCTAATTTCAGCTGTTTAAGTTGTTGCGGAAAGTATTTAACAGGGTGGCCATTAATAGCCCTCTTTTCCATAAGTTAGTTACTTTTTGGATATCATTATCAGTTAAAAACCCTTGGAAAGTTTCAATAGCGGAGAAACACTTTTTATAACTACCGTGACCTCTAGATTAAAGCAATCAAGGTACATGAAACCTGTTGGCTTGAGTGAATAATTGTAAGACATTAACCCTCAGCACATATGACATAACGTCACCTAACATAAGTATGGTGTGATTTTGACAGTTCAGAGTACCGATCTAAGTGAGAAACTGTCTTGAACTCAATCTGTTCCCAGCAAGGTACTTGGGTGACAGACACGTAAGAAAAATTATTCCCATGAAATCTACACTGATGGTTTTATGCAGCATAAAGGACGATGTAAATGAAGTTGAAAGATCAAGATGTCAGCGTAGTCACAACCAAAGGTTACCAAATTATTGTTCTAGAATATAAATTCCGGGATCTAAATATCAACCGAGTCCTTATTCCGTTCTAACTACCAGGACTTTTGACTAAGTAGACTATGAATGTTGTTTAATTAAATATATTTTATTTATCATATCACCACCAAGGCACATTTTTCACGTGAGCCAAAATCAAACTGAAATGGAATGGAAAAATGATTGTTAGGTTTCTGACCAGATCATTTGACATGTCTGTGTTGTTTTGCAAATATCAGATTTTTGAACCGAGGCTATCTCAGACAGCTTAATTATCCATCAGTACGAAACTATGCCAAATTAATTATATAAAGTCCCGTATAGATTTTTAACTAAAGCTGTCTGTATGACACTATGCCAACAATCTAAAACATATCCCTATGCATAAACTGCGACAAAAAGATTTAGACAAATTGGATTTTAAAAAACAAAACCTGTAAGTCATCTAGCTAAAGATTTCGTCCACTTGATATAGAGAAAAATTCAGCAATCGTGATAAGATCCTAACAGAATGTACTACTAAATATAGTATGTAGTTCCGAAATAATCACTGTGTGTATTCCTAGCTAGACAGACTTACAGTAGTATATGTCGTCAGTTCACACTTTGTGATCGTGGTTAATTAGCCTTTATAAGGAAGACTGTTGATGCCACAGATGGGTATCAGGGAAATATCTATGTGGACTATATAGTTCTTGAGTAATGAGCAAGTTGATCGTGTGTGACAAAATTTTAGAACTAGTCGATTAGACTTGATTGCACTTTTAGAATCTTCTCTCAAATGTTTTTTGTCTTTCATAATTCCTATCTCGTTTAACAGCTTAGCTTTTGTGGAAATATTTCGTATCCATTGTATAATTCTTCATTATATTGTCGCCAAGATTGAATACTATGTAATTCATCTTGGTAATTATATATCTACTTCACTTTGTGTGGCGATCTGAGTTTTTCAAATTCTTACTCAACATTGGCTCAGTCAGTTTAGTCAGCTGCCATCTCGTCTAGTTTTCCACTTTTGTCATTTGCTAATATGAACTCAGTTTATTGATACAAAAACTGTGGTAAAGTGTAATTTTACTTCAGTTGACTTTTTAGATACATCACACAGTAGGACAGTATTACTTACTGGATTACGTTTCGGACACAATCTACTGTCTATAGTCACATCAAGATAACTACACAGCTTTGAGACATCTTTAATATAGTTCTAATTTCTTCCCCTTCTTGTTGATGTAGATGGTAGGATTTCCCACATATCTGGAACAGATACTGAGTCATTTCTGTTGCATGTGTTTGGTGTTGACTGATTGATAATCGAATCTTCGTTTGTCTAATCAACATCACATACATGTCACAGAAATGAGTAAGCACCTATTCTGGGTATATGGAGAATCCTACTATCTGTGTCACAAACGAGGCAAGAAAACTTGAATTATATAAGCTGAGTAGTTATCTTGATGTGACTACAGAAAATAAATCGTGTTTGAAACATTATCCAACAAATAATACTGTTCCATTATGCGATAAATCTAATAAATCAACTCAAATGGAATAAACTCAGCTCTTCAGCGATTATTGAATTGCTAAATTTATTGTGGAGAGTGAATGTGAACACATTTTCCACGTTGTAGTAGTCCTTTGCATTTAAATGTTGCATTTCATTGAAGTTATTAACAAATAGCTTCTTTTTCTGTTCCAAGTAGCCAGTGGATAAATGGCTCTCAGATATTAGACTAAATCAGAATGATGTAAAATAAAAAATGTGTTTATACTGGTTATATTATAGCTTGTTTCTGCTTCGTCAAAACTACCATACCTCTTGAAATGTACTTGAACTTCGATAAAAAAGACTACTTTGGTTCCCATGCAAATAACTGAAAAACATTTCTGACGATCAAATAAGAATAACTTTCACTTTAAATACCTTGGTACTTGCAGTTTGGGATTCTCCAAGTCCCAATTTTGTGTACTATTTTCGTCTACTAGTCGACATCTATCGATGACAAACTTCGAGTTACTGGGAGGCTACGTTAGGTTGCTTATGTTTATTAATTATTAGTTATCAAGATTAAGGACATTTACAACTTTTCAGTTGCAGAGGAAAGGAGAACAGTTACCACAGAAAGTTTTACCCAAATTCATATTTGAAAGTGGTTTTAACCCAAAAATAACACATTTCGAACCAATTCAGTTTTTAAAAGTATGGAACCATGTTATCTTCGAGATTATCTCCTAAGCAGCATCCACAATCAGTCTCTTACTGCATCAGAATCCAAAATTTTCAAAATTTGCACCCTAATAAAGTCTCTGATGGCGGCAATTCCAAAGGCCATGTCAAACGCATAACTGCCTTCTTTTGGGAAAAATATCACTATATCACAATAGGAGATTTTCATTCATCAGGCCGTCTAGGTTAGGAATGGAGAAGTGTGCTTACCATTTATAATGTATATTAGTCATGCTTTAATGAGGATTAACTGGTTTTTGAAAAGCAGTATCATTAAAATACTTGTAGGATGTCTTATATTTTCATGCAGTTACTCAAAAATAATTGGACCGATTGGTCAGGTAAAATATAAATTTTCCTGCACAAATGTTACAAGATGAATTTTGAACACTCAGTCATCTCAAAAATGATAAGGTATACTACTTGATCATAAGAGCAGAAGAAGGTGTACAGGTATATCCAGATGGTAAGAGATGCGAAAGGTAATGAATAAAGTGAAATTGTTTAATTGAAATGAAGTATGCGCTCAGTGGATAAGGGATGCATTGAAGTGATTTGAAGATATGACAAAGGATTTTAGTTTCAGAAGGCTTACACACATGCTGACATATCTTTTATAACTATTCATGTAACTGTATTCATTCAATGGTGAACATTTCGTAAGACGTAGGCTTTTGTGAGTACAAGTACAATCTGCAAAATATGCAGAATAATGGTAAGAAATCTAACTTCATTTCACATCTAATGAACTGCATAGATCTCTTCATATTTACACAGGTAATCGTCAAAAAAATTTATTTGTCTTACATGGTTGTAAATTAACGAAATATGATCTTTTGTTCCATTTGAAATGCGCGTAAAGAGAAAAGATATCAAAGATTACCAGGTAGACACAGTTGTTCTTTATTTGTTTTTCCACAACAATTCCATTGAAATTTGATCGTGTGTACGTTTAAACCAAAAGCGACACATTAGTTTATTCCAAATAACTCTACACTAAACAAACTTCAGTTAAAAAAATATGGCTAGAATTTATATATATTCATAGTTTTAAAGTTTTAACGAACTGAAGTGTTCAGGTGACAAGCAAAACGTCTCTTAAACATAATGAATACATTTTCTGTTGGTGCTTTATTTTTCTGCCTTCTCTTGGTTGAAATAAGCAGTAAGTTCCACCGTTAATTTGCTGTGTGCTTCCACATCTATACTTCTCTGAAAAATCGAATTTCATACATCATTGAGAATGATACAATTTTTAGAAGAATTCGCCATTGATGACATGAAACTTGTCTGTGATCCAGCAAAATGTAATGAAATTTCACAGTGAAGGATTGCTGAAGAGCAACCACCTTTTTGTTGTTTGGTCAAGCGGTGATTGAATTTTACTGTGACTTCCAAAATAGAGGACTTGCCATGGCAGTGCACTTTGATTGATGTTAGTTGGTTGGAGGGAGTCGACTTGGAGCCCTAGATGTAGGTTTCATGCCTGTTAGCACTCGTCGGCAAGGAATTTCTCTGACCGTGATGAAACTGATTTCTCCTAGTAAATTCGAAAATGCAGTAAACAGTGCTGCAGTCAGAGACCGTACTAATAAGATATTCAGCCCATGCCTGATACACTGAAAGACCGGGTTAGATATATTGACGGTCATCGGATACTTGCCAGTTTCATGTGCTTTCGTTTTAAGGAAATCTAATCAGACACCATAATACTGAAGAAAAGTGGTTAGTATGGTGAGGGATAACCACGTATAAAGAATAAGACAGGATCTTCTATAAATTCAGACCAGCAAGGCGTTCGTAATTAATTACTACTATTATACAGAACACGCCCTCAACTTCCCCTCCCTGAAATAGCAGAAAGATATTACATCTATATCTACGTATTACACACGATTGTATCGAATAAGATTTTTTCTTGAAAACAGTTTTAAAAAAATACTGATGCATAAGAATATATAACATCAAACGTTACAAATCATAACTTCGCTGAACATTCTCTATAGCCATGAATATTTTATTTCCCGAAGCAACGAAGAAAGAACTTCCATTTTAGTTGATTTATTAGATGAGTTACTCAGAGTTAGTTCATCATTTACTGAATTAGGTTTCAAACACAATCTATTTTCCATGGTCATATCATGATGTATCAACAACCTTCACACTTCTTGCATATAGTTCTGCCTTTCACGCCTTCTTTGTGGTATGTGTTTTCAGATTTTCCATATAACAGTAACAGATGTTGAGTCATTGCTATTGCCTCTTTTAGATATTGATTCGATAAATTAGTATTCAGTTATCAATCTCTCCCTCCACTCTACTATGCTAGATTTCGGATTTTCACCTTGTCACATCCCATTGTGTGGTTCTGTTTGATTGCATGCATAGCTATGGTCAAGCTTATTTCTAAATTCCTTATCTGACTGGGGTCTACCAATTCTGACCCAGCTAGGTTTGTGTGCTTGGATAGTCTTATTGATTTTTTATTCGACAAAATTGGCCTTTGGATTTGACCTCACAAACATTCCAATGGATTTTGTAAAATAAGTTATTCTGAGTCTTTTCAACTACAAAGCTTATTTCTAAGTAAGTTTATCGCTTTGAATACCACTGTAATCCGAGCCTTATTCAGAATCCAACGCTATGTCTCTGACATGCCTTCTTCGTTAGTGATATTCCTTATATTTTTCTGACGATCCAATTAAGGAGAATAAATCTGCTAATTTACTTGTTTGGGGCTTGCAGAAGAACCAGAATGCAAGTTTCGTCCAACTTGGGACTCGTCAGCTGGATGTATCTGCATCCCAGTGAATGATGTTGTTCACGCGGAAACTCGGATCTTGAACTCATCGCTTCAAACGACAAGGCATCATCCACTGGGCTACTGAGGTACGATGGCTACTTCCTGTTCCAAAGGTACTAGTTATTAATATTTCTTGATTTGCTTATAATTCTCCTCTGATTTAAGTGGATCAAATTGTCTGACTTGGCGTTAGAAGTGATGGGTACTAGGTTTGAGTCTCATTGGGCACGGCACCACTCACTGGAATCCACGTGCACCCAGCTGAAGAGTCCGAAACAGAACGAAAGGCGTGTTCCGGATTATTCTGCCGGCTACAAAAAAATTATCACCATAAACATTCAGGCAATATCGAGTCATCCATATAGTGGTAGCCCATATGCAAACAGAGGCTGGAAAATGCAATACGGTAAGGTCAACGCAGAATTGCAATCACACCAAAAAACAGTAAGAGAAAAATTTGGTTCATCGAATACTTTTCAAACGTCATCAGCTCAAATATCAAGGCTAAAGTAGTTGAATAAAAAAAAAGACTATCCAAGCACACAAACGTAGCTGGGTCAGAATTGGTAGACCCCAGTCAGATAAGGAATTTAGAAATAAGCTTGACCATGGCTATGCATGCAATCAAACAGAACCACACAATGGGATGTGACAAGGTGAAAATCCCGAAATCTAGCATAGTAGAGTGGAGGGAGAGATTGATAACTGAATACTAATTTATCGAATCAACATCTAAAACAGGCAACAGCAATGACTCAACATCTGTTACTGTTATATGGAAAATCCTATAACCCGTACCACAAAGAAGGCGTGAAAGGTAGAACTATACGGAAGAAGTGTGAAGGTTGTTGACATATCATGATATGACAATGGAAATAGATTGCGCTTGAAAACAAATCAAGCAAATAATGAAGTGACCCAAATGAACAGATTACGAAATAAAAAAAAAGTAATTAATTCAAAAAAATTCCTCATTATTCACTCTTCTATTATGGAAGAAGAATGATAACGTAAACACTTGTTGTGTTTAACGTGATGGGTAAATGAATTAAAAGGTTCGTATAGAATGTGTATCTCCATTCATTGAGAGGCAGATAAGCCTTATGTCAGGTATGAAGCTCTTATACAATGACCATATTGGTGGTTTCATGTTCTTTGAGCTTCTGGATTTTGTTATGTCATGTGACAGCAAAAATACCAAAGTTCATGAACTAGTTTCATGACTTAGTCCTTCATATTCACTCTTGAATACAAGGGAATATATTCCCCTTTAAACAGAAAGTCCTAGTTATGTATTTTATGATTAGGGATATCAACAAATTTGCTGTGTTCAACTGTGGCCAACAAAATGATTTTTTGCCTAAGTGTAATAGTTTAAGATTGAAGTATGTAACCTGAAAATTACAAAATGTGGGTACCTTATTGAGTTTTGAGTAAAGACTTTACTTGAAATCGAACATCAGAAGTGAAAGTCCATATCTTCCATTGCCTAATTCACCTTCACATAAAGTACTCCAACAGTTTGTTTCCAACATTTCAACCTTTTAATACTGTGTTATGAAAGAGTAAAACAAATAAAAGGGAATGTTTACATGTTATATGGTAAAAGTACTCATACTGTTTGTCAGTATCATATTCAGATCTTGACTTGTTATTTTAATACCGCCTTGCTTAGTATATATGTAATAAAGTTTATGATATTTTATGAGAGTTGAACAGTGCTTGTTGTCCATCAATAATTGGTTCTGCTGTTGATAAGAACCTTGTTGTGTGTTGTAACACTGTTCACCCAGTATACATTTGTTTTGAAGTTTGTTGAGATTAACGTTGTTTCAGTGTTAATTCATATATCGTGAACGATCACTAGATTCATTAGTAAGCAGATAAGAACTCAGTTCAGGAGTGTATTCGGGTTGTCTAGCTTTTAAATATGAATTTGTGGCTTTTAACTTTGTATGCTGGCCCACCTCATGCAAATTTAATCTGAACTAACCCTAGTAATCATCTGGTCTAGCTTACTAGAGAATGTGTAATTCAGAATTACAGATAGGAGTCCATAAATCATTATTTAAGACAGCAGTACTTAGGTTTATTAGTAGTTATTCCTAGAAGAGATAGCCTACTTTCATTCGTGTTAAAATTGTAAAATTTGAGTAACTTCAAGAAGTCAAGATACTACAGACTGACATTTTACAAACTTCTCCAACTACAGCGCTTTGCAAACATTAGATACCTTATGAAGGTATGAGTACATTACATAGTAGCTTATACTGTTCCACTTTAGGCCTATGAGAAGATGGATAGTTACTTTGGGAAGACACAGTAGATTTTATAATATGCTGCTGATATCTCCATACTTGTAATGTCATGCATATTGATAATACTTGCTTGGGAATATCTCTCAAAATCCAGCTTCTCTTATGATGACTACTGCAATGCACCAGCTGAAGACTATTCATCATGATTTAACTTTTTTGACAAGAATTAGTTCACACTTAACGGTGTGCTTAGAATAGGGACCCAGTAGATAACATTATGGAGTTTGTAGGTATGTTAATCGTGCTGGAAGTTGAAACACCCAAGAAAATCCGACTACATTCACCACTGAGCTTCGTATACAGTCGAAATGTTTGGTATGTTCCCTTAAAGGTATGGTATTATTAGATAGTCTATTTTAAGTTTCTTCAACATTCTAATCAGCGTTTGATTGAATACTTCTAGGTACACCAAATAACCGTAAGTTGACAATCAATCCTTTCCCGTTTCGGCAATTTTTTTCATGGATTTATATCAACGAAACAAGTGATTCGATCTGAGCAACTTAATGTCAACAAAATTAGTCTGAATTCTATCATTTTGTTACCAAGTAATCCCTAAATACCGACTTTTATGAGGAGGAGTGGGATTACATTGCTCTGGTCATCATTCACTGATATGTCTAGTTAAGTAATCCAATTTCTCATCCATTCATTTGTCGTTAGATATCTAAGCGACACAATATTTAACCAAGGTGTCAAAGAAGGGAGAATTCAACTAACTTACCTTACTGTCCTGTTAGTTAACAAGTTGTAAGGGGGTGTACTTTCAGTAGTTCATCTGGTTATTGATACATTCAGAAACAAACCAATGAAGATGTTACAGAAATGAGGTTTTTCATGAGTACGGATACTGTCAATAAATGGAAGTTAGAGAGGTCATTTAGGCTTTATCCACAATGGGCTCTATTTATTCATGCGTATCGGAAATGGGTGTTAAAAGGCGAAACGAAAAGGATTCGGTACTAGGATTTCGGGAAATTTATTGTCTTTTTAACATCCAGATGCATAACTACTTTAGAGTATTCTATATTCATAATGAAATTCGACCCCTCTAATGGCATAATAAGGGAGTAGGTAGAAAAAAGTGTCAGCTTAGCAAGTGGGTTTTACTTCACGTCACTTGTTTTACCTCTGATTTGCAAGACTGACAATGATGCAAGTTGAAAAAACATGTGGTTTTGTCGAAATCAAACAAGCTGCCATCTCGCTTTAGTTATGTCGCGCTGTCAGCTGAGATTAGACCCTAGAGTCCTAAACCTTTCTGTAAGGAACATATATTTTTGGTTAGGCCATTATGTTATTTCAGGTGATATCAAGAACCGCCCAGTTTTTTGGCATCGAATGTCACTGTTCGAGCTATAGTTGGGGAGATAGTCTACTTCACTGTGTGATGCATCTAATAAATCAACTCAAAAGGAATTACATTCAACAAAAATTCCTCATTATTTACTCTTCTATTATGGAAGAAGAATGATAACGTAAACACTTGTTGTGTTTAACGTGATGGGTAAATGAATTAAAAGGTTCGTATAGAATGTGTATCTCCATTCATTGAGAGGCAGATAAGCCTTATGTCAGGTATGAAGCTCTTATACAATGACCATATTGGTGGTTTCATGTTCTTTGAGCTTCTGGATTTTGTTATGTCATGTGACAGCAAAAATACCAAAGTTCATGAACTAGTTTCATGACTTAGTCCTTCATATTCACTCTTGAATACAAGGGAATATATTCCCCTTTAAACAGAAAGTCCTAGTTATGTATTTTATGATTAGGGATATCAACAAATTTGCTGTGTTCAACTGTGGCCAACAAAATGATTTTTTGCCTAAGTGTAATAGTTTAAGATTGAAGTATGTAACCTGAAAATTACAAAATGTGGGTACCTTATCGAGTTTTGAGTAAAGACTTTACTTGAAATCGAACATCAGAAGTGAAAGTCCATATCTTCCATTGCCTAATTCACCTTCACATAAAGTACTCCAACAGTTTGTTTCCAACATTTCAACCTTTTAATACTGTGTTATGAAAGAGTAAAACAAATAAAAGGGAATGTTTACATGTTATATGGTAAAAGTACTCATACTGTTTGTCAGTATCATATTCAGATCTTGACTTGTTATTTTAATACCGCCTTGCTTAGTATATATGTAATAAAGTTTATGATATTTTATGAGAGTTGAACAGTGCTTGTTGTCCATCAATAATTGGTTCTGCTGTTGATAAGAACCTTGTTGTGTGTTGTAACACTGTTCACCCAGTATACATTTGTTTTGAAGTTTGTTGAGATTAACGTTGTTTCAGTGTTAATTCATATATCGTGAACGATCACTAGATTCATTAGTAAGCAGATAAGAACTCAGTTCAGGAGTGTATTCGGGTTGTCTAGCTTTTAAATATGAATTTGTGGCTTTTAACTTTGTATGCTGGCCCACCTCATGCAAATTTAATCTGAACTAACCCTAGTAATCATCTGGTCTAGCTTACTAGAGAATGTGTAATTCAGAATTACAGATAGGAGTCCATAAATCATTATTTAAGACAGCGGTATTTAGGTTTATTAGTAGTTATTCCTAGAAGAGATAGCCTACTTTCATTCGTGTTAAAATTGTAAAATTTGAGTAACTTCAAGAAGTCAAGATACTACAGACTGACATTTTACAAACTTCTCCAACTACAGCGCTTTGCAAACATTAGATACCTTATGAAGGTATGAGTACATTACATAGTAGCTTATACTGTTCCACTTTAGGCCTATGAGAAGATGGATAGTTACTTTGGGAAGACACAGTAGATTTTATAATATGCTGCTGATATCTCCATACTTGTAATGTCATGCATATTGATAATACTTGCTTGGGAATATCTCTCAAAATCCAGCTTCTCTTATGATGACTACTGCAATGCACCAGCTGAAGACTATTCATCATGATTTAACTTTTTTGACAAGAATTAGTTCACACTTAACGGTGTGCTTAGAATAGGGACCCAGTGGATAACATTATGGAGTTTGTAGGTATGTATAATCGTGCTGGAAGTTGAAACACCCAAGAAAATCCGACTACATTCACCACTGAGCTTCGTATACAGTCGAAATGTTTGGTATGTTCCCTTAAAGGTATGGTATTATTAGATAGTCTATTTTAAGTTTCTTCAACATTCTAATCAGCGTTTGATTGAATACTTCTAGGTACACCAAATAACCGTAAGTTGACAATCAATCCTTTCCCGTTTCGGCAATTTTTTTCATGGATTTATATCAACGAAACAAGTGATTCGATCTGAGCAACTTAATGTCAACAAAATTAGTCTGAATTCTATCATTTTGTTACCAAGTAATCCCTAAATACCGACTTTTATGAGGAGGAGTGGGATTACATTGCTCTGGTCATCATTCACTGATATGTCTAGTTAAGTAATCCAATTTCTCATCCATTCATTTGTCGTTAGATATCTAAGCGACACAATATTTAACCAAGGTGTCAAAGAAGGGAGAATTCAACTAACTTACCTTACTGTCCTGTTAGTTAACAAGTTGTAAGGGGGTGTACTTTCAGTAGTTCATCTGGTTATTGATACATTCAGAAACAAACCAATGAAGATGTTACAGAAATGAGGTTTTTCATGAGTACGGATACTGTCAATAAATGGAAGTTAGAGAGGTCATTTAGGCTTTATCCACAATGGGCTCTATTTATTCATGCGTATCGGAAATGGGTGTTAAAAGGCGAAACGAAAAGGATTCGGTACTAGGATTTCGGGAAATTTATTGTCTTTTTAACATCCAGATGCATAACTACTTTAGAGTATTCTATATTCATAATGAAATTCGACCCCTCTAATGGCATAATAAGGGAGTAGGTAGAAAAAAGTGTCAGCTTAGCAAGTGGGTTTTACTTCACGTCACTTGTTTTACCTCTGATTTGCAAGACTGACAATGATGCAAGTTGAAAAAACATGTGGTTTTGTCGAAATCAAACAAGCTGCCATGTGGATAGGTTTTAGGCTATACTCAGTTTTTCGGTCTTTTCATTGAATAGTCGAATAATATTTTTCTTTTAGGCTATCTGAGACATTCTTTTTTGGGCATATTTTTATTGACACTAGTATGGTGATCAACGACGAAATGATAAATTTGTACGCGTTTGGATTGAAGGTAGCGACCACAAGATTTTCGACTTTGTACTGTAACTACTGAGATGCGAAGCTGAACTCCCGATTAGATTTTTGTTCACTTTTATTATCTAGGTTTTTGGCCAACTACCAAGTTGATTCATGGTACTTTTTGTCCGTTGGTTGCACTCATATATGCTGATCAGTGAGGACTTCTCGTCTAAATCCTAATCTAACTGAATTAATAAGCGGAGAACCCTACTTATGATGATTTTGACAATCTGGGACATCTGCGGCTTGGCAGATTAGTATTGATACTGGGTGATACAATGTAACAAATTCACATGGTTTCTGGTAAAATCCTTGGTGATTGAAGTGAAATAAATATCTGGTTAGCAGTCAGGCTTTTTAGCTCAGTTGATTGAGTACGGGACAGGAAACCTAGCGGCCACTGTTTTGAATGCCGGCTTGGTTCAAATTTTCATTTCACTCTGAATCATCATTGAGTAAGAATGATAGTTCACGGTAGTTTGAGTAGTGCAGTAAGTTAGGCTAGAAAAATAGCGGAAATAAACAAAAGTTATATAAATATCATATCGCTGTCTATTGAACATAAACAGTATACGCCCAGTGGGTTAACTAAAAGACCAGAGAATAGCTTTTTTCTCTGAAGTGTGTATTGTAATCTCTTAAGGATATGCTTCATAGTCACCCACCTGTGGAAATTCGTGTTAAATTGCAACACAATGTATTAATACATACAATGCTATGAATTCAGTGAATAGATAACTTGACTGATGCTCCTATCCAAAAGTTAAATATATATTCTAAGATTCTGGTTGAAGTATGTCAACCAGTGCATTGAAAAAACTAGCAAATCAACGTAAAATATTCTCTAGGTTCTGGAATAACTAAGAGCACATAGAACAAACAAACAGATAGATGACTATTCATCATTATCTCCAGATTTCAACATATTTAATTGCACACATAGTTCCAACTGATGTCAAAAGATTTACAAGGGAATTCAGGCTAGAGAACAATTAACAAATTTAAGTGACTAAATATCATTATCATTTAGCACTGAAAATATAACAAAAGGTGCACTTCAAATGACAAAAGTGAGATTGAAATCATTAGTACCTAATAAACGATTAGTTTTGAAATAGAAACACAAGAATTATTGCGAAAAATACTCATAAATTAGGTAGGGAAAGTGATAAAAAAGACAAGAAACAAGGAGATCAGACCGAAATTCAATTCAGAAAAAAAGCACAAAAATAGACATTAAACTTTAAAAGGCAACACAAAAAAATTGAGGATAGATCTACAGAGAAACACTAACTTCAAGTAAAATAAGTATTATTTTAAAGAAAAAAGCAAATGAAAAGGAGTAACAAAAAAATAAATAAGAGGCGAAAAAAGCAGTAAAATGAAAGGTAGGATAATAAAGGAGAACAGGAAGATATAAAGCAGAAATTGAAAGAAGATCAGACGAATGAAAAAAATATTGCATCTGACAAGTCAAGATGTCGCATAGCTCAGTGCAAATGAATAGAGATAATAAGAAAATTATATCAGTCAAGATAAAAACAAGTCACACAACAGAAAACAAAACAAACAAAACCACCAGCAAACTTATTAATATAGAAGTTGACTGCCAGAATCCGTCTGTTCAAATCGCTGCTGCAACAACTGATCGAGCTGTCTCACCGTGGTGTGCATGTACACTAAAACATTATGAGGAGGGGAAAGGTGGAGAACACGACAGTGAATAGTGTTTAGTTTGAGTGACAATCAGTGTTCAAGCTGATTGCCATAAATTTATAATAGTCACAACAGGAGTAATGATTATAACTGGTACGTAGTTGACGACATTCGAAGTTCAGCGGCTGCTAAACCACGTGAGTAGTATCTTCTGTATACACTCAGATGTCATGAGAGTGGAAAACATGACACTGAACAACGAGTAGTCTGTTTAACCTCCAGTGCACAACATGAGTTAGTTTCTTTCATATTAATAAGAGTAATTATTGTGTAACTGCCAGTAGTAATAATTATGAAGCGAACCTATTTGATTTTATTCAATCTGCAGCACCCGCCAAACCAGGTGAGTTGAAATCATTCGCATACTGCGTAGCAACCCAGCTGTTTTGTTACTACTGTTTGCTGTTCAACAATTTGAGTTGTGCTGGCCTTTGACAGTTTGAGATGGTGTTGTGGGGCTACAGAGGGAGACATTGTGAAATAACATTGATGGATAAATTGTTGTTCACTTTCACTGTGACGTGTCTAGAGAGATGAGTTGTGGCAACCTACTCATCGACAAACCACTGCAGATAATAGTCACAACAGGAGTAGTGATTATAACTGGTACGTAGTTGACGACATTCGAAGTTCAGCGGCTGCTAAACCACGTGAGTAGTATCTTCTGTATACACTCAGATGTCATGAGAGTGGAAAACATGACACTGAACAACGAGTAGTCTGTTTAACCTCCAGTGCACAACATGAGTTAGTTTCTTTCATATTAATAAGAGTAATTATTGTGTAACTGCCAGTAGTAATAATTATGAAGCGAACCTATTATTATTATTCCCTTGGGTTCCTAGTGGAACATAGGGCTTCAGTAGCACGCCTCCAGTGACCTCTGTTCTCTGAAATCTTTTGAACCTGGTTCCACGACAGCCCAAAAGCTCTCATTTCCTCCTCGCATGACCTCCTCCATGTCACCCACAGCTGGGACGTCCAACTCGTCGCTTCCCAACGGGGTTACACTCGAGGGCCCAGTGCGTGCTTTCCTCAGTCGGCCTTCTCAGTGCATGGCCAATCCATCTCCACTTCTTCCTGCATATTTGTTGCGTGATAGGTTCTTGGTTGGTTCGTACCCAGAGTTCCTTGTTGCTTATTCTTTCTGACCATCTGATCTCCAGTAGCGAGCCAACGTAAGCAGTTGTTGATGAATGTCTGTAGTTTATTGGAAATCCCTTTCGTGACTCGCCAAGTTTCTGAACCATACAAGAGCACTGACTTGACGTTGGTGTTGAAAATCCGGATGTTGTTCCGCATGCTGAGTGCAGAAGATCTCCACACTGATTTCAGGCTAATGAACGCCTGTCTTGCTTTTCCGATTCTCACTTTGACGTCCTCGTCCGTCCCGCCTGTAGTTGAAACAGTGCTTCCTAGATAAGTGAAGGAGGTTACTTCCTTCAAGTTTCTCCCGTTGACGGTGATTGGAGTTTGTTGTTGTTGTTGATGGTGGTGGTGCGGTATCTTCATCACTTCTGTCTTCTCTCTATTCACCTGTAGTCCCGTCTTAGCTGCCTCTTCTGTCAACTTGTTAGTTTTTGCCTGCAGATCTTCAAGTTTATGTGACATTAGGCATGAGTCATCGGCGAAATCCAAGTCTTCTAGGTTCTTTTCCGTCGTCCAGTGTATCCCCCTCTTCTCGCTGCCTACTGTTTGCTGCATGATCCAGTCCACCACAATAAGGAATATCATGGGGGATAGTAGGCAACCTTGTTTCACTCATGTCTTCACTTCAAAGGCATCACTGAGCTTCCCATTGTGGATTACTTGGCCGGCATGTGGCATCTTCATATAGTTGTTGAATGAGGCGGATAAAGGTTTGCGGTACTCCGTAGTATTGAAGCAGTTTCCAAATTACCTCTCGGTCGACGCTGTCAAAGGCCTTCTCAAAGTCGATGAAGTTGAGGTATAGAGCTGATTGCCATTCTACGCTCTGTTCTATGATGATGCGTAGTGTGGCGTTGCAATTTGGTCTGCACATGATTTGTACTTCCTGAAGCCTGCCTGTTCCGGTCGCAGTTTTGAATCCAGTGCGTCTTTAAGCCTCTCCAGGATGATGCGGCTTAATATTTTCCTTGCTCTGGGTGGACAGGAGAGTGATTCCACCCCAGTTCTTGCAAGCACTGAGGTCTCCCTTCTTCGGCAGTTTGACAAGGTAACCCTTCTTCCAATCAATGGGCAGGTACCTTCTCTTCCTTCCACACCTTCTGCAATAGTGGTGTGAGCATGTTCGCTGTTGTCTCTGCATCTGTTCTCAGTGCTTCTGGTGGGATCCCATCTGGTACTGCTGCTTTCCCGCATTTCAGTAGCCTTATGGCGTTCAGGACTTCCATCTTCGTTGGAGGATTTATGTTCACTTTTAATTCAGTGGTTGGGCTGCAGGTGGTATTTCTGGACGAAGTGCAGGTGGTGGTGGTCGATTCAAGAGCTTCTTGAAGTGGTCGGCCCATTGTTTCCTCTGTTTCTCTTCTTTTGTAATTAAATTTCCTTCACCATCTTTTATTGGTTTCATCTGTGTTGGTCTCTTCCCTGATAGCAACCTGGTTATTTGATACAATGTCGTCAGGTCTCTCTTACCTGCAGCCTGTTCTGCTTCACTTGCCAGTGTTTTGTAGAAGTGTCTTTTGTCTTTGCGTGCACTCTTCTTCACTTCTTTATGCAGTGTTTTATACCTTGTACTCAGTTCCTCTTATCATCGTTCATCCTTGCACTGCACTGGTTTATCTTCTGCTTCACCATCCTCCTCTCCTCCATCAGCGTCCATGTATCCATCGAGATCCATTCCTTGTCTTCCACCTTTTTCCTTCCTAATACTGTTGTGCAGGTTTCTTTCCACGTCTCTTTCAAAAACTTCCAGTGTTCTTCAACACAGGTTTCTTCAGGGATGTTGCTCGATGTCTCCCATTTTGTCTTGATGGCTGCCTTGGAGATCTCCTTTGTAGTTTCATCCTTCAGTTTCCAGGTGTTGAACTTGAATCATGGTCTATCACCAACTTCCTTGAAGGCTTTCAACTTCGTTTGCAAGGTTCCTTGCATTAGACAGTGAGTGGTGAGTGTGAACCTACATCTGCTCCCCTTCTTGACCTTCTGTCAAGTAGGCTGACTGCGTCTCCACTTTCTTCACATTGAGATGAAGTCGATCTGATTTGTAATGTGTCCTGGTGTCTGGTGAAATCCATGTCACTCGCTTTGTGGATATCCTCGTGCTTGAACACACTGCCTCACTGCAATCAACAAGTCGTTGAATGCACAGAATTCTGCAAACAATTCTCCATTCTCGTTCATCACCTCACTAGCGCTTCTCGACCCATGGTTAGTTCTCTTCCTGTGTTGTCCCCTCCCAGTTTGGCATTCATGTCACCCATTGGAATTTTGATATCGCCAACTGAGGCGGTGTTTTGTCCAGTGTTGATTGAAGTTGTCTGTGGAATTCCTCCTTTTTCTCTTGCTCTGCATTATTTGTAGGTGCATAGCGTAACATTGTATGATTGTGACCTTTCTTCCTTTTGAGTTGAATCTTGCTGTCATGATCCTGCAAGAGGAGATTGGTTCCCACTGCATGAGAGAGAGCCTTCGATGCTCTTGAGGACATCATGATAGCCACTCCATAACTCAGTGTGCTCATGGTTGGCGTCTGGGTGACCGGAGTAGATTATTGATTCTCCAGTTGGCAGTTTGAAGAGTCCACTTCCATTCCATCTGCTTTCGCAAATTCCAAGAACTTCGATGTGATACCTTCTCATCTCCTTTGCAATCTGGGCTGCCTTACTGGGTTCAAACATCGTACGGATATTCCATGTCCCCACGTTTACTTTCGCTTTCATCGAGGGAGAGAAGACACATCGGCCAATTGGCTTCCCGAGGGCAGGCTTTCACCAACTGGCGTCATTTCGCCTCTCCGATTCCAGCCAGGAATAAGTTTGTTTTTATTTTTTATCTTTTGTTTGTGCTTTGAAGTTTGTTTAGCGGTTAGATTTGTTTTCCGGGTTAGGGTTGCTAGCCCTATGCCCAACCTTCCCTGTTTACCCGGGCTTAGGACCGGCTAGTAACTAGTAAACTAGTTAACCAGGCGAGGTTATGAAGCGAACCTATTTGATTTTATTCAATCTGCAGCACCCGCCAAACCAGGTGAGTTGAAATCATTCGCATACTGCGTAGCAACCCAGCTGTTTTGTTACTACTGTTTGCTGTTCAACAATTTGAGTTGTGCTGGCCTTTGACAGTTTGAGATGGTGTTGTGGGGCTACAGAGGGAGACATTGTGAAATAACATTGATGGATAAATTGTTGTTCACTTTCACTGTGACGTGTCTAGAGAGATGAGTTGTGGCAACCTACTCATCGACAAACCACTGCAGATAATAGTCACAACAGGAGTAGTGATTATAACTGGTACGTAGTTGACGACATTCGAAGTTCAGCGGCTGCTAAACCACGTGAGTAGTATCTTCTGTATACACTCAGATGTCATGAGAGTGGAAAACATGACACTGAACAACGAGTAGTCTGTTTAACCTCCAGTGCACAACATGAGTTAGTTTCTTTCATATTAATAAGAGTAATTATTGTGTAACTGCCAGTAGTAATAATTATGAAGCGAACCTATTTGATTTTATTCAATCTGCAGCACCCGCCAAACCAGGTGAGTTGAAATCATTCGCATACTGCGTAGCAACCCAGCTGTTTTGTTACTACTGTTTGCTGTTCAACAATTTGAGTTGTGCTGGCCTTTGACAGTTTGAGATGGTGTTGTGGGGCTACAGAGGGAGACATTGTGAAATAACATTGATGGATAAATTGTTGTTCACTTTCACTGTGACGTGTCTAGAGAGATGAGTTGTGGCAACCTACTCATCGACAAACCACTGCAGATAATAGTCACAACAGGAGTAGTGATTATAACTGGTACGTAGTTGACGACATTCGAAGTTCAGCGGCTGCTAAACCACGTGAGTAGTATCTTCTGTATACACTCAGATGTCATGAGAGTGGAAAACATGACACTGAACAACGAGTAGTCTGTTTAACCTCCAGTGCACAACATGAGTTAGTTTCTTTCATATTAATAAGAGTAATTATTGTGTAACTGCCAGTAGTAATAATTATGAAGCGAACCTATTTGATTTTATTCAATCTGCAGCACCCGCCAAACCAGGTGAGTTGAAATCATTCGCATACTGCGTAGCAACCCAGCTGTTTTGTTACTACTGTTTGCTGTTCAACAATTTGAGTTGTGCTGGCCTTTGACAGTTTGAGATGGTGTTGTGGGGCTACAGAGGGAGACATTGTGAAATAACATTGATGGATAAATTGTTGTTCACTTTCACTGTGACGTGTCTAGAGAGATGAGTTGTGGCAACCTACTCATCGACAAACCACTGCAGATAATGGAGAGTAGTTATCCGAGTGTGAGATGAAGAAAGTGAAGCAGACTCTGAGTAAGAAGGCTGGTGTTGCTGAGGAGGGACTTGAGCGTTTCTGTGAATGTGTGCAAGTGGTTTACACTTGAGAGCTGCCCACATCGTGAGAGGTAATCTCCAATGGGGTCTGTGGAAATGAATTAGATTAAGTATGAGTGTCGTTATCGATCTAGACACACAAGATCTCATCGAAGTATGTGAATTAGATTTTAGTGTGTCGAGTCGATACTTTAAGACGCCTCATGATCGGGATCAGAAACTTGTAGAGCATGCACAGGATGGTCTGCTGTTTTCTAGTTGAGCTGTTTCTTGCCTGCTCTCTCCATGATGTCACGTCGCTCTTTCGATATTGTAGGTCATCCATTTTATCGTTTTTTCTAGGTTTAGTTTTGTATTTGGTCGATTCGGAAATTCCTTTCTGCCTTTGTGACTTGAATATGATTTCTTCTCATTTCGTGTAACTCTTTGCAAATTTTGTTTTTTTGCTTTTGTTTCTTAATTTATTTATCCAATGTTTCTTTTTCCTGACATCTTTGGATTTCTATCCTTTCGTTATGAGGTCGATTTTTTTTATTATTTAATGTTTGTATTTTATTTGTTGTTTTTGTGATTACATATTGAATTATCTTAATCTACCCCTAGTCTGCTATTTTGAAATTTATCCTTTTCTCCCTGTCACATCCAAGTTTTAGTTATGTGGATAACTCACCGTAAATTTTTTTTTTGAATCCATTTTCTTGTCTGGATTTTGCCAGTTTATTTGCATCTATTTTTGCATACTAGGAGAGACTACTTCATCTCGATGGAGTTCTTTAATGTGTGTTGTCGGCCTTGCAAGCGTTTCACTTGTTTTGGCAAAAATTAATTATTCTACCTTTATTGATGGTAAGATATGTATAACGAATCTTAATGACAAAGAAGTGATCTTAGGTACATCTCTAAGGATTCTTAATCAAGGGAATTTCGAGGTGGTATCAGACTTACAAACTCAGTCACAAATTAGTTTTGTTTGCAAAGAGACTCTACTGATGCAATTAGCGAGTACTTTTTATTTTACCAATTCCTTTGCAATGATTTCGTATTCAAGTGCATAAATCAAAATATTCAACCAGTTTCAATAAGGTTCTCCGAGAAAAAAAACCCAGATTACAGAAAATCGATGATCACCGTCAGATAAGGAATTTAGAAATAAGCTTGACCATAGCTATGCATGCAATCAAACAGAACCACACAATAGGATGTGACAAGGTGAAAATCCTGAAATCTAGCAGAGTAGGGTGGAGGGAGAGATTGATAACTGAAGACTAATTTATCGAATCAACATCTCAAACAGGCAACAGCAATGACTCAACATCTGTTACTGTTATATGGAAAATGCTACAACCCATACCACAAAGAAGGCGTGAAAGGCAGAACTATAGGGAAGAAGTGTGAAGGTTGTTGATATATCATGATATGACAACAGATTGTTTCTGAAACTCAATCTAGTAAAGAATACTGTTTTTCTGCGTGATTATTCTTACAAAGCATCTAAAATGTAATTCTGTAAATGTTAGCAGTAATAATCATCATGATAATGATGATGGGAACTTATTCGATTTTTTTCACTCTGTAGTGCACACCATGTTAGGTGAATTGAATTCATCCCAAGTGCACAATTGTTTCTGTTTTAAATTGTTTCACAGTTTCATGCTTTTGTTTTTTGACTGGTTTTCTGTATTTCATGCTGTTAGCGCCTCAGGAATCCGGTTAGTTTTTCTTTTTTGCGACAATATTTTTTATATAACATTTAGATGTGTATTCTTGTTTCGCTGCCTGCGAATTTTCCGTTTGCATGAAATTCTTATAATTGAATGTACTTAGTAATTAAATTTTCACAGGTGAACTGTTTATTTTTTACAGAGCCACTTTCTTTATTTGGTCTTTATTCAATGCTTGTTTTAGCGTGCTTAAATGATTTTCAGGATGTCATGTTATGGAATGCATTTTAGCTATTTTTAACATGTTGGTTATTCATGTTACTATACTACTGAACTTAACTAGACCCTTTTGAATTCAGAAGTATTTTAGTACTTTGTGTGAGCAAATTTCTCTTTCTTCATTGGATTTGGACAAACCACTTTTGCAGCATTATGGAGATGATGATCAGGCATTTATCAGCAGATAATTCTTGTATGTCAGACTGTGGAGTGCAAATAAATATCCTAGATTATATAAAAGTAAACCTTCAACCTTTTATTACCGAAAAAGATAAATCTTATATCTGAATAACATTCGACATTTTTAATGCCTCCATATTCTTTTTGAAGTCGTATGTCACATCTTTGATAGTTCAAAAATGCAAGTAAATAAACTAGCAGATGAATTTTCAGAGGTACTTTCTCCGAGAGAACTACCAGAATTCTTAAAGTTACTGTATGTTATTATGAAAATGAGTAGGACACTTAAATGATCACAACATGTAAAGACTTCTCATTAACAAAAGATAAAAAGGAGTGTGTGAGTAAATGCAGAGGCTGGGACTCATTATTTCCGTACCACTCTCCTTAATGTCTGCACATTATCGTCAGACGAATGTAAAATGAAAATATGAATACGATAAGATAAAAAGTCAAGCAAAGCCATATGACCCTAATAAGAGGGGCTTAGACATCGCGAGCCTATGCCAGTGTGAGTAATTCCTTCCCATATTACAAAGAAAATTTAATGATCTATTTCAATCATCTAGTGGATCCGAAGCAACAACACTACATCTTGTCATACGGACAAAATGGAAACTTAGCCCTAACCGATAGACTACAAAACCAGAACTAGTTGATTCGTAACCATTTTTTTTAAGCTTAGTTCCACTTCGCTTGACATAGCATGTTGCAGTGAACTATGGTGTACCTTTGATGCAATACATTTAGGCCACCCCACATGTTGAGCTTTCATAATCGTATCACCTAAGTAGTCTACGCCTACCAAAGGATCTTCTCATATATGTTCCACACATGCATACGATGTTTCTCAAGCCAAAACAGTCAGACGACGAAGGCCTTCTTTAGTAATCCACCACTAGGGACTAAATATTTCAAGTCCCTATTTATTATAGGATATACGAAAATAACAGAAACGTTTCAGATCATCCTAATTATGAAGATAATGGATTTCATTTTGATACAGCTGGATAACCAAAAGATGTTCAGTAAACAACTGTTGTAAAGACATTCACAATGATGGAAGAAAGCTTAAGATCACAACAACATTCAATAAATCAAGACTTTATAGAGATATATTTCGATTTAAGAAGTTCCACATATATTAGTTACACAAAAGGTAAACTATGTCAGAAAGATTGATGCTGCTCTGTTTAGTATGTGAGAGGAAATAGGTGTTTCTGTGAAGTCAGCGCTTCATTATTAGATGTTTTCCTATTAAATTAGATAGCAATATCAACACTCACTGTATGAAAAAGCTATTTTTTGTAGTATTCATTTGTGTTCAGGTAAACTTACTACAGACATAGATTGTGATCAGTTGAGACTAAAAGATAATTTAACTGATATAAGCCATCTTGCATAACCGTGATTTTTACTGGGTTCCACTGTAGGAGTAGGGGTTTACTTGTAAAAACGTATACCTCTTTAAATGGCTACAAAACTCGACTAATAATCTCACTTACTGACTTTTAACTTACTGATCAATGTATGGGCAGAACTCAGTCAACATTCAGGATTAGACAAAATAAAGTCGGTCGCACTATGGTGACTAATAAACAAATATAATCCAGTCCTCCAACAGGTCAGCTTCAACCCAGATACCTGGTTAGTTACGTCTGTTACTGCAACATCAGGTGGTGTGGGTAAAAATCTATAGGGGAATGCCATTTTCTCTAGTTTGCAGATATATCATCCTAATGACTGAATCGAATACATGAATGTCAGCCAGTTACTTTCTTCTAGGTAATCTATATATTCGAATGAATGTCAACTTACCATATATAATTTTTCGTTCGCTCAATCGAATGAAGTTATAGTAGTCCATATTAAGACTGAAGATGACATACCATTTAAAGAAAAGCTGAGACTGACAACTGTTCAAAGCGACTCCTAGTTCAGGGTTGTTGGTCTATTGATATCAGGTGTCTTTGTAACTAGTTTGTTGACTTGTATAGAGTAATCTGTGAAGTGATACGCTCGTGTAATCAAAACCAATGAATTTTATTTTTCATTTGAATTCCACAGAATCATTTTTCAAACGTTAGTTTACGCCCGCTTATTAATATTTACAAGTATATATGAAAGTGAAATGTTCCGCAATTCAATTTTGATCTCTGATTTGTTGCATAATGTTAAATGGTTTCGGTCAAAAAATCGCTGTGTAGGTGACTGATATCTTGGTGAAAATTTGCAGCAAAACTTTTCTGGTTAAGCAAGTAACCTCCGGAAGGCATGTTTTACGTTAACATCTGCTTAGTACTTGCAGTGAAAGTGAAAAACTCACTTATGATGCAGATCATCAGTCAATGGACTCAAATTTCAACAGTTGGTTCATAGTGGCACAATTCATTCCGTCGACTGAGGTGCAGACAGTAAATTATTAAAGCGTATTTGTGATATACTTCAGTGTAAAAGTCTGCTTGATATGTACGATTTCATTTTAGTTTGAAGATTGCATTTCATGTCGTGACAGTTAGATGAAACAAAGTCAACTATTTGAGTAAAGGTTATAAGGCTAGTGGTCACTTATTATTTTAAAGGATTTTGAAGTAGCTAATCGTTTCAGCAGAGGAATGAGTTAAAGAAGAGTCCTGCCAGGTACTGTTTCTACTCAATGTAGTAACTCATTTTCATGCTCTCAAATTAAATTTCCAAAAACACGATAACTATTGACTACTATTTTTTCAAAGATGATTAACACATATCTGAAATTAAGCTTCTTCCTTAAACTGCCCAGCATTCGTTATCATTTGGTGGCTTGAGGATGACATGGATATCAAACAACTGAATGTTCTCTAGTTGAGTATAATTGATCCTCCATTGATGTTGTTGGCCTATTTTTGGACTGAAAGTTTGATTAACAAAAAAAGTTAGATTTTAAGAATTACAATAGCTCAGATTCATGCTATAAATGAAAGCCATAGTAAATTTAAATGTTTACCGAAAGTTTATTGCTATTTATTTATTTATTAAAGTGTTTACGTAAATTTAGTGGTAGCCATATAACTGAGGATAATTCTTTCTACTTAAAGGTATGTGGAATAAAGGTAATTAATATTCTCTTGTTATCTGTTGAGATGAATGGAAATTATCACCGTTATAAGTCTATTCTGAGTAGTTCAAAAAAGACGGTAAACTTGAAAAGTTACACATTTGTGTTCTTTATTAAAAACGTTTTTAGGACTATATTGCATATACCATAAAGATCAATTTAGTCAAATACGCATCATTGCAACTGATTACTGATTTTTCCATTAGGACTGGAGTTCAAAGTGCACTTAATCAAAAGCGAGACAAGCAAACAAAGGATGAAACTCGTAACAGTATGGAAGTATTTAAACAAAAGCCTATAAGTCAATAAAAGCTAGATAGTGCAGAATGATAAAGTAAACAGGGTCAAACTATGAGGCTTAAGTGGTTGGAAATACTTTTTATCATATCGCTGTTGCTGCAAAAAACTAGAATTTCTAAAATGATCTGCTTTCAGCGTTCAAAACTCTATGTATTACTGTTATGCATGAATAAATAGTCTACAAAGTAGAGAAAGATATGATTTTATAAACAGATGACTGTTTACTTCATCATATTACTGAACTCGGCAGCTCTGACCGTGGAAATTTTAAGATAAAGCTACTTACAACATTGGATAATCTAGTCGTTTCATATGATATGCAAAATGCAACTGGATGTTTTCGCAACAAAATAAAAAGACGCTAGTTTTGAAACTATGAAGTTACCATTCATCACAAAGCGTCTAGCCTATAGGAATCTACCCCTTTGTGAACAAGTGGCTATATTTTGAACAAAACCTAATGCTTGTGTCAGAAGTGTTGGGGGTATATGGTTCATGAGTTTTGTTGTAATAAGTAAATCTACTTGTTATGTTGTTGCATAAACTGAGTATGTTTTAAAAATGCCTATCTACTGGCCATTAATTAAGTTGAGACAGATTCTATAAGTAATACGTCTGATGCACGAGCATAGAAAAGACTGGCTGGTTATGACTATTTGAATGAAACAATGGCGTTATATGTAACCGAAGTATGTATTTAGATTCGAACATTATCCATAGTTGACTATATACCCTTACCGAACAATATAGGTCAAATAACGATCATAAGTGCAACAAATGTGGCTTCGTCCCAATTAGTAGTTGTAGCTAATTACAAATGCGTAAATTATATATTATGAAAAGTTTGAAAAAGCACGTTCACGGCGCTTCTGGAAGTATCTCCTTTGGTTAACGAATTCAGATAAAAATTAAGTCTTCACAGATATATATACCACCAGGATTAATATAGGCTACATAACTTACTATCCTTAACACTGGAAACTGAAAATGTCAGAGATAAAATTGCAGAATGTTCTATAAAATGTCACGTCTTTAGAGTCTGTCTTCCCGTGATAACTCAGTTTTATTGTTGATAAAGATGAACTAAGATCAAAGTGGAGCTGAAGCTCATAGGTGTAGGACGTCAACTGTCAACTAGTGGTCGGAAGAACATGCCCAAAGTGTAATTAGATACATATTGCATTAAATATCCGGATATTCAACATACCTGGTGTGAGTTATAAAGCTGGTCTGAGTACAGACTTGTAGATAAAACAAACGCAACTTTCCACTTCACTTGTTTGTTCGTGATGTATGAGTTATGACATTGGGGATTACTATGTTAATACATACCACCTCAGGTCCAAAGCCTAAATTCTTAATCCAAAATAATAACGTTAACCCAATTACTTCAGTCCTAAAGTACTAAAGTATGCGATAACATTTTTATACCTAAATTCAGCATTATTATGGTATAGTTATAATTGTCTTACGCTATGATTCAAAAGTAATTCCCGCAAAAATTAAAGCACAGTTCTTTCACTTGTTATCGACAATTCATGAACAGTAAGATTGAACCGCTCCATCTTCAAGAAGAACGACAGATTTCAAGGAAGGATTTAAACGTATCTTTGTCACGAATAGATGAACACTCAAAGTTATTTTTACATTCATCATTTAACTCGGCGTTCAACTTCTTTCAGAACATTCGTAACAACTACGGGTTGGGTGTTTACAATCTTATTTTTAAATTAGCTGAAATTCTCATATAATAAACAGATTTTTTAAGAACTGCCTCTTTACCTTGATTATTGTTCATTAATCCTCAAATTTAGCAGTTCTGGGGGCAAAAAGTTAAAGACAATGAATGTTGTTTAGGTACATCATGGATTTCAGCTTCTAACGACAATACGTTTGTGGCATTCTTCTTAAGCTCTAGTTAAAACAAATCAATCAAAGGCAAAGAAATGCGAATAATTTCAGCCAAATCCGGCAATTGTGATTCCAGCAGAATACGTATTTCAGTTTTCGGCTCTTGGTCACACTTAGATTTATGAAACACGGCTACCTCGTTGTGAAGATTCACTTCAGCTGAATTAGTTGTAGCCCTACACTAAGACTTCCGTTTTATGTTTCCACCGACTAATATCATTCCTGCAGTGATTTAAGACGAATACCAGCAAGTAGCACCAACAATATTCTTACGGTTAATTTATGTACTTCTGGTAGGTGAAGAGATAATGGAAAAATACCTTGAGTATTGGTTTACTCATATAAGTTGACCGCTAACTTGTAACCTTATTTTCGATGAATTTAACTCAATCGAAAACCTCTTTTTTTTCTTTAATCGTAGTTACATCCTATTTTAAATCATCTGAAAGCTGTAAGTATTTTATATAGACATATTTTAAGAAATGAATAATTTATGCTAATGGTTTATGTTTTACCAAGTCCTTTACAAATTTAAACGTTGTAGAATGAGACCTTTTATTTTTCATAAATTTTTCTTCATTTCCAACTACAATCTAATCAGTATAATAAGCATTAATGAAATAAATAATGTGATGAGAAGTTCTGATGGAGTTGCGCTGACGCATAATCGGATGTAGCCTCTGATCTATACTTAGTGAATATACACTTGGTTGATATTGAAGTTTTCAACTTGAATTCCTTTTTTTCCCGCTTTTCATTTCGTGGGAATTTCCTTCAGCGCCTATTCGGAACTTCACGAAATTTTATAGGTTCAACTCAAAAGAAAGGAAGGTGACAATCATACAATGTTACACACCTACAAATAATGCAGAGCAAGAGAAAAAGGAGGAATTCTACAGACAACTTCAATCAACACTAGACAAGACCCCAGTTGGCGATATCAAAATTCTGATGGGTGAAGTGACATGAATGCCAAACTGGGAGGGGACAACACAGGAAGAGAACTAACCATGGGTCGAGAAGCGCTAGTGAGGTGATGAACGAGAATGGAGAATTGTTTGCAGAATTCTATGCATTCAACGATTTGGTGATTGGAGTGAGGCAGTGTGTTCAAGCACAAAGATATCCGCAAAGCGACATGGATTTCACCAGACACCAGGACACACTAAAAATCAGATCAACTTCATCTCAATGTGAAGAAAGTGTAGACTCAGTCAGCCTACTTGACAGAAGGTCAAGAAGAGGAGCAAATGTAGGTTCAGACCAACAGACTATCTAGTGCAAGGAACCTTCCAAATCAAGTTGAAAGCCTTCAAGGAAGTTGGTGATAGACCACAGTCCAAGTACAACACTCGGATACTGAAGGACGAAACTACAAAGGAGATCTCCAAGGCAGCCACCAAGACAAAATTGGCGACATTGAGCAACACCCTGGAAGGATCACGCGTGAAAGAACACTGGAACTCTTTGGAAGCTATGTGGAAAGAAACCTGCACAAGCGTATTAGGAATGAAGAAGGTGGAAGACAAGGAATGGATCTCGATGGATACATGAAAGGTGATAGAGCAGGGAGAGGAGGATGGTGAAGCAGAAGATAAACCAGTGCATGGATGCTCAACGACAAGAGGAACTGAGTACAATGTATAAAACACTACACTGGACAAAGAAGTGAAGAAGAGTGTCCGGAAGGATAAAAGACACTTCTACGAAACACTGGCAAGTGATGCAGAACAGGCTGTAGGTAGGAGAGACAGAGACCTGACAACATTGCATCAAATAACCAGGTTGCCATCTGGGAGGAGATCAGCGCAGACGAAGCCAATAAAAGATGGTGAAGGAAATTTAATTACGAAAGAAGAGAAATAAAGGAAACAATGGACCGACCACTTCAAAAGGCTCTTGAATCGACCACCACCACCACCTGCACTTCGTCCAGAAATACCACCTACAGCCTAACCACTGGACTACAAGTGAACACAAATCCTCCAACAGAAGTGGAAGTCCTGAACACCATGAAGCTACTGAAATGTGGGAAAGCAGCAGCACCAGATGGGATCCCGCCAGAAGCACTGAAAAAAGACTCAGAGATAACTGACGACATGCTTACATCACTATTGCAGAAGGTGTGGAAGAACGAGAAGGTACCTGCTGGTTGATTGGAAGAAGGGTTACCTTGTCAAACTGCCGAAGAAGGGAGACCTCAGTGTTTGCAAGAACTGGGGTGGAATCACTCTCCTGTCCACCCAGAGCAAGCAAAATATTAAGCCGCATCATCCTGGAGAGGCTAGAGGATGCACTGGATTCGAAACTACGACCGGAACAGGCAGGCTTCAGGAAGTACAAATCATGTGCAGACCAAATTGCAACGCTTCGCATCATCATAGAACAGAGCATAGAATGGCAATCAGCTCTCTACCTCAACTTCATCGACTTTGAGAAGGCCTTTGACAGCGTCGATCGAGAGGTAATTTGGACATTGCTTCAATACTACGCAGTACCGCAAACCTTTATCAGCCTCATTCAACAACTATATGAGGACGCCCAATGCCAAGTAATTCACAATGGGAAGCTGAGTGATGCTTTTGAAGTGAAGACAGGAGACATGAGTGAAACAAGGTTACCTACTATCTTCCATGATATTTCTGATTGTGGTCGACTGGACTAGATCATGCAGCAAACAGTGGGGAGCGAGAAGAGAGGGATACGCTGGCTGGACTGTGGGAAAGAACCTAGAAGATCTGGATTTTGCCAGTGATGACTTGTATCTGATGTCGCACAAACGTGAAGATCTACAGGCGAAAACTAACAAGTTGGCAGAAGAGATAGGGCAGAGAAGACGGGAATTCAGGTGAATATAGAGAAGACAGAGGTGATGAAGATACCGCACCAACAACTTTAGCAGCAACAACAAACTCCAATCACCGTCAACGGGAGAAACTTAAAGGAAGTAACCTCCTTCACCTTTCTAGACAGGGCAGCACTGTTTCAACTACAGGCGGCACAAGCACAGACGAGGACGTCAAAGTCAGAATCGGAAAAGCAAGACAGGCTTTCATTAGCCTGAAACCAGTGTGGAGATCTTCTGCACTGCACTCAGCATGTGGAACAAGATCCAGATTTTCAACACCAACGTCAAGTCAGTGCTTCTGTATGGTTCAGAGACTTGGCGCGTTACCAGAGGGATTTCTAATAAACTACAGACATTCATCAACAACTGCTTACGTTGGCTCGCTACTGAAGATCAGATGGATGGGCAGAAAGAATAAGCGACAAGGAATTCTGGCCGGGCAACGAACCAACAAAGAACCTACCACTGAACAAATATGCAGTGGAAGGAAGTGAAGATGAATTGGGCATGCACTGAGAAGGGCAACTGGGGACATCACGCGTCAGGCCAGTTGCTCGAGTGTAATCCCCATGGGAAGCGACGAGTTGAGCGTCCAAAGGGAGGGTGAAATGGAGGAGATGGTGAGAGGAGGAAATGAGAGGTTGTGGGCTGTCGTGGAACCAGGTTCAAAAGATCTCAGAAAACAGAGTAGAATGGAGACGTGCTAGTAAAGCCCTATGTTCTTTTGGGAACCCCAGGGACTAATAATAATAATAAATGGTTGTTTAACCGTTATACGTACTCTTGAAAGTATCTAGCATCCTATACTGGGAAAGAAAGTTGATTTGAGTTATTCCCATAAATAATTACACCATTCCATTCTAGGCTGAGTGATACAAATGAAGATGTAATTAAGGGTAGACCCAGACTGGTAGGAAAGGTCATGTCCATGAAATGTTAGGCACAGGGAGAAAAACATGTGCCACAATTTACTTCTACAGTGTTAGTTACAAATGTCTTGTCGCAACTGAAGGTTTTATTTCCGCAAAACGTTCCGTATTTAATGTCTACTTGACTATACACAAGACTTGATGGCCGGCCTTGCCCCTTCAGCTCATGAGTTGTAGCAGTTGACTATGAGGTGGGGACTAATCTCACTGCCTAATTGTCTGGATGATATGGGATAAGACTTCTGGTCAAATGAACATGAATGAGCACGTTCTATGTTAATCTACAAAATGACCTGCAGTTATTCATCTATAATAGGCCTGTCCATAGGCAGTTAACAAGTTCCGTTTGCTATCTAATATTTATAAATTTGTCGAATAACAGATAAGAAAAGTACATTCTTGTCAACATGGTATAATGCTTGTGTGCATGTACGCGAAATTACTCAACTTTTCAGCTGACAACTACTCAGAAATAATCCATCATGAAATCCATACTTCGACATGTGGAACTCAAAAGTTGTGAAATGCTGCATTAGGCATAAACGTATATTCTTTAAAACAGGTGTTTGAGTTTTTCCGCGATTAAAAGACAAATTTGTAGTTATAACCTACCGTTGCCATACTGGGTCAAATTGTCCAACCTCAGTTGGTAAATGGGCTCCTATATGGATGCCTCGATACCGCCTGCCTACTCATTGTATTGTATTCTGCTTGGTGACTAGCAGTGGAATCCCTAGTCTCAGTTTGATAACAGAAGAATACAAATATCAGACAATACCTGATACCCATGCTGAAGAGGTGGCTGTCATTCCTTAGTGGTCTAGTGGATAACGCTTTAAGGTCAGGAGCGATGGGTACTGGGTTGCAGTTAGGGGATGAACTTTACCACTCACTGAGGTTCAGGTACATCCGGCTGACGAGTCTCTGTTTTTACCGCCACTAAGCAGAATACAAGACAAATTTGTACTTTAAAATAGGAAAGGAATCTCATTTCCTAGACAGAAGCGAATTTTCTTAAAACCGCTTGTTTAAATACACGAAAGGCAAGTACAGCATAACACGATGATATTTTGAGCAAGATTTTAATCAGTAAGATAGAATAAAGTATCTGCAAGAACAAAATTACTGAGACTTTGGAATATTACCTTTTCGTACGGAGGTGCAACAGGTTGGAAAGTTTTTTGAACACCATTCTCAGGGACATTTCACATTATGCTTCTATACAGACTACTCATAAACATATACTGCTGGAAATTTGGAGGTTTAGCCTTAAATATACCTGTATAACATATGACAGATAGTGACTGGAGCATAGTGACATAAAATTGCGGATACCTTTCTAGACTGCACAAGGTGCTCCATAGGAATAAAGTCATGAGAAGGATGACTGATATATGTGATTTCAAATTATACCAAAATAAGTTGTATGACTCAACAGAATTATTTTCAGCCTATTAATTAAACTGAAGAATACTAAATGTTGCTAATCATGGATTCAAGAACTACAAATCATGTGCGGACCGGATCGCAACGCTACTCATGATCCTAAAAGAGAGCGTAGGATAGCAGTCAACTCTCTACCTCAACATCGTCGATTTTGAAAAGGCCTACGACAGCGTTGAGAGGAAAGTAATTTGGCAGCTAGCTGATTCTACACTACGGAGTACCACAAACCTTTATCAATCTTATTCGACAGCCATATGAAGACGCCACATGTCGAGTGATCCACAATGGAAAGCTCAGTGACGCCTTTGAAGTGAAGACAGGAAGGAGTTAGATAAGGTTGCCATCCACCATCTCACATGATCTTCCTGGTTGTGGTGGACTGGATCAAGTAGCAAACTATGAGGAGCGAGAAGAGGGACAAACATTGTTCGGCCGATGAAAAGACCTCAGTTGAAGGCTTGTATTTTGCCAATGATGATGATTTATATCTGATGTTTTGTTGCACAAACTCGAAGGTTTACAGGCGGAAGCCAACAAGTTGACAGAAGAGGCGAGGCAGTGAGGGCGGGACTAGAAGTGAATACAGAGGAGACAGGGGTGGTAAAGATGCCCCACCACCAACAACAGGCATCAATGACGAATAACAGGAGAAACCTAAGGGAGTTGTCTCTTTCATCTACCTATGCAGCATTGTTTGAGCTACAGGCGGTGGCACAGATGAAGACGTCAAAGCCAGGATCGGAAAGACAGCAAGATAGGTCTTGATGCATTAATCTGAAATTGCTGCGACCTATTGCGCCTCACTGCACTCAATATATAGCAAATAGAAAGAATAAGCAACAAGGAACTGTGGCTGACTGGCTGGTTGCCTGGCAACGAACCAACCAAGAACCCATCGCCTAACACATATGCAGAGGAAAGCGGAAATAGATTGGCCATACACTGAGAGGACCATTCGGGGACACCACGTGCCAGGCCATGCCCTCTAGTGGGATGCAAATGGGAAACGACGAGTTGATCGTCCGGGGATGATATAGAGGAGATCATGTTAGGAAGAACTGAAAGCTTGTGGGCAGTTGTGGAGCCAGGTTGAAAAGACTGGAGAGAAGAAAGTGCAAAGGAGATGTGCTACTTAAAGTTCTATGTTCAACTAGGAACCCAAGGGACAAATAAATAAAAAATAATGAGAAACGTCTTCCTTCACCAAATCCAGCATCGATAAAAATAAGCTTATATTCAACTAGCAGTTACTCATTGTGGGATATATCTGAATTCAAAATATATACCAAACAACTTACTCTTTTCCACCATCCTACTCTTGTTGTATTTACAGTTGATAGTAAATTTTTGAAGGTAGTGGCAGGATATATTTATCTGACATAGGCCTATTTGTTAAAAGGTAGAATTATGTGAACTGGCTCCAGCTTTCATAACCGTTAATGGATACACTTAAAACCTGATAAGCAGAATTCATTTGTCACAGATGACTAGACAATACGACAATACTTACCATGTATTGTCCAGTTAGGTTACCTAACTGTATTCTGCAAGAAGTTAGATGTCACTGTTATTTCAACGTGGTTATTTTGTTTTCACGGTAGAGGGTCAAATCAGTTAAAAGTCAGTCTCTTCAGACATATTAAACTGCATTGTTCATAAGTGAAACGGATTTCTTTGCTGTTTCTTTCAACTGACTAACACTGCATCATGTGAGCTAATGTCTTAGATCACTTAGGCCAGTAGGCTAATTATAATTTTGAACCAAAATATTTTGATCAACACAATCTTGTAGATAACATGACTATTTCAAAACATTCTTGTAGTAGTTAACATTTAACTAAGGTAACTCAGTGTGTCCTCCTAGAAATGACTACTGTCATAAATAATAAAAACCTTTTCCATTTTCAGCAAGTGGTAAGTTAAATTGTGACACTTACAGGGTGTTAATTTGAAATTACAATATTACAAAAACCAAAATGAATTTTTTAATGATCGCTTTATTCACGTAATTCTAACAGAGTCATCCTATTTAATGTTCTCAAACTGTCTAATTTTGGAAAAGAAAAAAGCATAAAAATCGTAAAGGAAGACAATATCTGAACCTCTAACCTTAAGTTATGTACTGACATAAATGCAGTGAATTAAGATTTTTGAGTTCACTTCTGAAAATCAGCAAAGAAACTGAGGTGAGCATAAATGAATGTAAACAGAAGATTATGAACAAAATAATTTACTGAAAACACGTGATTATGGAGTAAATTCGAAAAGGACTTGACTTTATATCATGGATGTTTAAAATGCCATGTGTTTAGGGGATATCTCTAAAGATTGTATGATGTACTCAATTAAATAAGTATCCGAAATGAAGGTTACTTGGTTCATAAAGTTGTGAGTTTTCGATGGTATAATTTCCAGTAAATAGAAAGCTAAAAAGTGTTTACACTTAATAAGCTACATTCCAAAGCATCAGTTTTATAGAGAAAGGTTATCTTTCAAACTTTTTAAAATTATTTGAACATTTATAAAAAAATATGTTTAATGATGTCAAAATATCATTTTAATCGGCTAAATAGTCATATGCGATAGGTTTAAAAAAGACAGATCTCTTTGTTTATATTCTTGTTTGTTGGTTAAATGAGTAATTTTCGAATTATTTTCTAGAAGGCAAAGGAAATCAAACCGGAGTTCGTAAGTTTCGATCGGAATATAGGATGAACCTAAGTACTTTAAAAATTACAATTGTTTATCTTTCCTATTCAGTGAGAATTGCTCTCTGTTCATAAAGGCATTTCATGTAATTACGATGAAACGGCATTTCATCTAACTAAAAACCCTACATTAGGTCCTTCAAAACCATACGGTCTTTTTTTCATCTCCTATTTGATACTGTAAAGATAACTTTTGAAATTGTTTTCTAGACAAGGAAGAGACCACAAACAGCAGTCGTAAGTATTAACAGGGATTAAAGAAGAAACTTTTATGATTATCTTTACAAATTTTTCGTTCTTTATTATAGTATCATTTCAGGCTCGATAACCAATCATTTGAACAAAGTAAAAGAACTTTCGTGATAATTTCTGCCTGTGAACGACTTTGTTGACAGAGAATCAGAATATGCTTATACTTTGGTGTTATGAATAGATTTACAGAACTTATATCTGTATGAGATTAGTTTCTATCGAAATATTTAAAACAGTCTAATTATGTACAAAGTAACGGGTTTAAAATCACAATGATGTGACCTCACTATCTGTACTATCACGTACAAACCTACAAGCATAACAGATTATATCATAATTGTAATTCTGATCTTAATTTTATTCCAAATTTTTGACTCCAGAATGATAATCCAAAAAAGTGATCCCAATATTGTCAATGGACTTTTGACGTAAAATTGTGGAATCATTATTTTATAATAATCTTTGACTGCTACTTCTCCTCTGAAGGTTATACCTACTGTGTTTATCTGTTTCTACTGAGAAACTCAAAGTAATTTCATCAGTACAAATGCATATTCGTTTATTTTCTGAACATTCATTTTTAGAGACATTTGCTTAGTAGTTTCAGCTGGGTGTGATACAGGTTTTGATTTGAGAGATCTTTGAGGATTTTGGTTGTATTGTGTTCTTTGAGCTGGATTGGTTAATCGTCAAGCTTCCATCGTCTTTTTAGACAACATCATCAGCACTAATATTGTCTAGAAAGACGATGAAAGCTTCACGACTAAACAACCCAGCTCAGAGAACGCGATACAACCAAGACCATCCAACTGACCTACAAACATTCTCCACTACTGTGAGAATTGTTTAATAGGCTGAAAAGTTTGAATTCAGAGGGTCAGTAAGAAGTGATTTGATAAAACAAATGATCAGATGTCTTGTGATGTAACATCTGTATATAAAAGTTTATTGCATACTTTATATCTACAGGCATTTTACTTCTATATTCCTTATCTTGACAGTGTACTCATAATTTTGTACCATGGCACTGACACAAATATTTTAGCTCTATAATTTCACTAGGTAAAAGTATAAGACTATGAGGCTACATGGCTGGATGGACTGGATTTAATGATCCCTTCAGGTTTCATATAATCAGGAGTCGGAACATATAACTTCTAGATATTTATGCTGACTGTTCAGAAAATCAGTGGTATATTCCTACAAGCAAATGAGTAGTATTGTTGTTACAGATAGAGCCTTCATACGGAAAATTAAGAGATACTCATCTATCCAGTTAGTTTAAGAAATTTGACTCCAAGGCAGACTTCGCTAAATACTCAGATAATTTGATGAAATACTCAAAACTAGGCATGACGGGTAAATGTTCCATCTCAGTCACCTGAAAAAGTTACGACGGTAAAATCAGGCAGTATTCCAAATATACCTCTTGGCAAATTAATTTTCGACAACGAAAAGGTTGATAAGATTTATCTAATTTTGAACGATTTGGAGGCTAAAAGTAGAGGAAAGTCAAACCATTGACTCGGAAGAAAATAACTCATCAAAATACATACAAAATATATAAAGATTCATACAGAAAAGATTCGGGCAATCACAGTTTCCATAAGTCATATTTACAGATGTAAAGTACACTTAGTGTTCTAAAGTTTTCTACAGTTGGTAATTTAATGTTTGTTCGAAGTGAAGCAAATTTTTAAGTTTACTTATTCTCTAAAAATAGTAGAGTTATTATTTTACCTCTTGAGTGGATATGGGACATGCCAGCCACATATTTACAATGCCTCTGTCTTGATACTTCAATTTTCTCAGTTTCCTTTAAAGACAGTAAGTATAATAATATCAATAGAAATCATATTTTATGAATTCAGGTTGTTTTTATTACTGCCACTGATACTGAAAACTAGTAGTAGGAAACATATTACTGAAGGTTCAACCATAAACCAGTCATTCGAATTCCCTGACAGGGTTCAAAAGTGGTACAAAATTAACCAACCTGCTTTAAGCCGGTTTTTATGTTACATCCAAAGCATCCTTGAGTGATGAGAGATATGATAAATACGCCGGACAGCTCGATTTTATTCTTCTAAACAAAACAGTGAAGCATCATTTCACTGATCACATGGGTATTTGTACTTAAATTTATGGAGGAGACTTCAAGTTACAAGATTATGTAGGACGTAGTATTGTTGTCTGATCTAAAAAACATTCTTCACTCTTGTAACCTGTACCAGTATCCTATCGGTGTGGACGACACTATGCACTTTGGTAGGTCATTTAGCGATCTAGATGTTTTGGGTTTATGAAATGGTTTTCAATTAATCATAGTCATAAACTAACAGACTGATAAACATGATTTTTCGCAAGAATAATACAAATTTATCCACAGCATTAACATTATTGACAGTGCATTCGTCTTTACAAATGCATCAGGACTACTTCAGCCAATCAGTCAAAATCATTCCTTCAGTTTAGTTCAAAGAGCTTATTAAACTGCTGTTATAATCTACTACTTCTTATTTGTTAAATCGAGCATCTGATTTTGAGCAAATAGATGACTTATCCTGATAAATTTAGTCTACAACCAAAAATACCTCAGACTAACGAAATCTGTCAACTTAGATGAAGCGTTGAGAATGATTGTGTTTGTTTTCTCACGGTAGACACTTTCCACACTTATATTTTTTGTACCAGTTATTCACGACAGAGGTAATATGATAAACAACTCACCATTTGTCCAAGTTTCAGAGTAAGTGATATCGGAAAACATTTGTGAACAGCTCTCAATTACTTCTTTCGTTCAGTGGCACATTTGATCAGTTAATAGCATGGGTGTGTTAGGAGACAACTTCTAAACCTGGATGTGTAGCTTCTGGTAAAGATTTTATCGACAGAATGATCGTGCAGTAGAATAACTACTCAGCTGCGGATACTGTCAAGACAGACACTGAATTTCGTGAGCAATCCAAATATAGTTATTATTTTTGTGTATATTTCACTTACTGGTAACAACCTCCGTCAGATAAACACTAAAAATGTGTCATTTAATCGATCAATTTGCAATAAGAAGTTGAAGAACCCTTCACAGAGGATTGTCTTCAAGACAGTACAAAACTGCTGAGGCTATGAAATGATTGATAAAACTGAGTGGTTGACCTTAAATGAGCAATATTTCGTACATGTAATTCATTTTCATTTCTACACATCAGATATACTTTTGCAGTGGAGTAGTGGAGATAAATACCTTTAACTTAAAATTCCGTCATGCAGATTGTGTTGTTATTTGGTAGGTAGTTTAAGTGAACTCTTTGATTTAGACTAGGTCGTGGACATCATTCAGGAAACTTGCACTCACAATAGTAGGCGAATGTGTGCATTGGTACCATCCCTCTTTTGCTTTCTTAATATTTTTTTCCGATCAAATTCCTCCACAAATGAACCGATTAGCTTCTAAAGAGGTGTATCATAATGTGAAACTCATTTCATGCAACTCACTGGAAGCACTTATTTAGTAACCTTTTCTTCCTTCTCTGAATCTGTAGGAATGATTAATAAATGTAAGTTCCTGAGTACGTTATTCTTCTCGTCGGGAAAATTAAAACTTTAAATATGATGCCATGACTGGACTGACCATTTAATTTTCATTGAACGGTTGAATTTAGGTGGAAATCTTAGTGATGTGTTGAAAGGCATACATTGTGACTGATATAGCATGAAATTAGGTGCCTTGCAACATGCTCAAATAATATAGTTAAAAGCTATGCCAGAAAACTTGGTGTTGATTCCAATACATACTGGTGTGGCCCAGCATCTCAAAACCTGTTAATATTTCCTTCTAAAATGAATCCGACGTGACCTTAAATGACATAAACTTGAAATTAGGGCTTTGTGAAGGACTAAAATTTGTTTACTTAGGTAGCTACTACTTAATGATCCAAGCTGAAAATCATTTCTATGATAATGCAAGAATATCTGTTAAAAAATTAAGTTAAATGGGTTAACATTACAATATCTTTAATATAAACCAGTTCCGAAACATTCTACTGGTGTGATCACTATGTGGTACTCAACACACAATATACTAGCATTTGAATAAGAGGTTACTTGTATTCACAATAACTTAGACCATATTGACTATCGTATTTCAGTAGCGTGGTGTATTAAAGCTGTAACGCTTGAAGCTGTGAGCGCTGTGCTTGAATTGTAGGGAAAACACCGAAATTCAATATTAAGTGAATTTTATTGCACTTACCTGCTATTACTTAACTATGTATGTATATATACGCGTTAATAATGAATGTGTTTAGGTGAAGATTTATCCATATTTCTTAATTCCAACAAACTGTTAAACATACATACAGTTAACAGCTGGTTTGGAGTAGAAGGTAAGAATTCTTCTTGGTATGTTAAGTTCTTTTGATAATATTGAACAAGATAAGAAAACGTGTTGCCAAAAGTTCAATCCCGATTAAATGGAGCTACCTCTTTTTGGTCTTCAACTTGCTTTTGAATCATATCCTAAAGACTAGTCATATCATCCCTTTCTATATCAAGGGCAAAAACTTTAAATCATTCACTCGTAGAACTGCACAATTTACAGCTGACTCATTGCCTGCTTATCGTTCTAGGTGAGGGTATGATTTAATTATGAGTGAACCAAATGAGTTGCATTTTAGTAGAATATCGACGACTTGAAACAAGTTGGTCCTACAATAAGCATCTTTCTGAAAAACTAAATATTTCTTCTAGCAGTTCATAGTTAACGCCGCTAGCTCAAACATCTTTTACTTTTATTTTGTAGAATACAACCCACCCAAAGATAGGTTAGTGAACAGTTTGTTTATTAATTTTTTCTTTGTTATTTTGCTGGATTAGAGGTTGATGGAAGGCGGTAGACACGTTTCAATTATTTTACAGTGATTAAGCTGAAATCATCTTAACAAAACAAAGTTATCACAGCAGTTAATATGACTCGTTGTACGTCTAAAATAATGTCTTCAAATGAACGCTTCATGAAGAAGTTTACTGTCGCCAACTTCAAAGTGAAATGAAGTCATAAGCAGTTATACCAACCTCTTATCCGGGAGGTAAAACTGTTTATAACTGACACCTATTTTTTGAAAAGATTTAGCCAGAACAAAATGGTGCAGTAAACTTACAAAACCTTAACTAAACTTTTTGGGCTAGAAAGATAGGCAATAAAATCGTGTTAAGTTAATTATTTATGAATCGCAGAAATTGCTGGAAGTTACTCTGAAGGGGGAAATCTTAAGTTTAGTCAATTCCTCATGTGAAACTAAGGAGATGGTGAATATATCAGTAAAGGACATTCAAAAAATGTTTTCGGTAGAGATGATTACTCACTCCTCTGTACATAACTACACCAATTTACACAAATATTTTCTACATCAGAACAATGCACATTACTTTAATAATAAAACATTATCATTCCAATTGATTTGAATGTCTCTTGAACTATACAGATATAGAAAACGCATGATTTAACAATACTCATTTACTGATAACAATTCATCTAAAAAACTGATCCCTATTGATGTCCATCTTTTATTTTCTATTAGTAGGTTAACTAACAAACAAAACATTAAACTTCACCAGCTACAACCTTCAATTCTCACTGATTTTTGTATATTTGTATACGTTACATTGTAGCGAATTCACTGACCGATTGTGGTATGTTCACTCTTACATCGAAGTATTACTGTTTACATTTAAAATCTAATATCAGTAAGACTTTTTATCTTAGATCTGAATGTATTTCATTCTGATACAATAAAATTTATAAACTTATAAGTGTCTATAAAGTTGAAGTCTCTTACACTCTGCAATTTCATAAAGTTTTAAAATCTAAATTTAGTTCTGCAAAGTCATCAATTGAAATAATTTCTTGTTGAATATATGGTAAAATGATGATGCAATATCAGGTTCAGTTCTTTAACCTTCAATGCTCAGCTGTTACATACAAAGCTCAGGAAGATTATCTTACTTGCCATAGTCAGTTAATTTCCATAAAATGTATGTAGTACATAACTTTGTTGTTTACTGTGGAAAACCAGGCTCACTTTATTACTCCTTTATTAGCATTCCACCAAAAGATGGATCAAACTTTATGTTACAATTTGTTAAAGTCCACGCTTAAATAAAGGTGAAGCATTTGTTTAACCAACTAGGTTACAGTTCATAATATTTTCAAAATTGTCTTGAATTTGATCGTAGAAAATGGTTTAAGAAATACTGTGACACATAATGGTGTTTAATACAGTAGCAAACCATGGGCACTATGGTAAATTGTAATTCCACTTTAGTTCTTTCTTTAAATGTGTCACACAGCAAAACAGTATTATTTACTGGGTAACATTTTGGATGTAATTTATTCTCCATATTCACTTGGTATATCACAACAACACGGTTTTTATGTTCACCGTATGTTTCGAAATTCCATGGAATTTTATATATATAAGAGAAACGTCTTTAGAACTCTTCAGTTTCCATGTTGTTCCAAGTAAATTACATCAGTCACGAAGGAAATAATGTAAACATGTAATAAAAATTGTTGTTTTCTTTACGATTATTTTGTGTAGTTACAAGTACTTTGAGCTTTCAAAAAAACATTAGATTCACTAATGCATCATAAGATATCCCCTTTTTTTTATATTTACACAGGTTATTATTCAAACACTGTTTCTTGAATCTGAAAAATTTGGGAAAAATAATATCCATATAATAACGGCAGCTGATAACACTATTTTAACCAGAATATAAGTTCAAAATGAAAAAAAACAGATTAATAGCTTTTGATGAGGAGTAATTTTTCTTAATTTAGTTTTGGTTATTTTGAAAATATACTACTTCGTGAAAAATTCTTTGTCTTTGTTCCACAGTTACCCAGTTATCTGCACATTAGGAACTCTACCTAATAGATTTCATTATATTGGAGTTCTAAGGTTATTACTTTCCTTCTTCGCTGATATGAACAAAAAGTGGTCAAAATCATAACTAGTCTTCTGTGAGAGTTATTTCAAATGAATGTAAAATCGTCATCATCATTAGATCATGCTGTTTCCTGAATCCAATAACTGTAGTATTCTGTTCTTATTGTTGGAAACGTCGAAAGCTGATCTGCACTTTCCTGGGAATATGGTGGTAATCATTCCAAAATATGGTCCCATATTGTTAGCGAAAAATATATAACTGAAACCTGGACTAAAATCAAAGGAAGTGAATAACCTTACCAACCTCTCTGTTCAAGCGTTAGGTACTAAGTTAAATCGCTGACTGTCATTAAACTGAATACCGTGATGAACATACAAGTAAGGGTATAAGAAAAGACATCGCATAAATGTGTATTTGCTTCAAACGTTTTCTATTTATCGTACGGGAATGAGTTTAGGGAGTCAAATGACAGTTACTTATTTCCAGAAGATGCCTGAAAGTATGCAGTGAAGATACAAACAATATGTTTACTGCTCTTAACCATTTTACATCGACTTAAAAATGATAACATATGGGTCAATCAACTGACTTAACACTGTAGGTAAGAAATAACCTGAAAACATGCATTATGGTGAAAACCGCAGGTAAGAAGCGTATTAACACTTTAATCAACTAATTTACTGTATGTTAGCACCAATCAACATTAGAAATGTGTAAAATTGAACAGTTCGTATCCCAAAGTAACATGATTTTAAAACCTGTCACTGGAAATAGAACAAATCTATGCCTTTGGATCTAAAAATAACCTACTATAACATGCATGCATGAAATCTTCGTGTGGCAATTCTTTTCATGTCTTTTTAGCATCACTAATAAAAGTGTTCCAGTTCGCTAGACTATTCCTATTATCAATCTTCTCTCGTGACGCTAAAGTTTGAAATAAAATTTTAAAAAATCCCTACAGTATTTTACTAAATCTCAGGATGTTCAAGTTTATTTTTTGCCTGTGCCAAAGTGCTTCAATTTATTGTGCTGTCCTCACTTAAAAGTTATTGGAAGAGATGAAAGTCACTTCGAAGGAGATAATGCTTTTTGAAGGTAAATAAGTTTGAATGAGTTAATCGTTGAGAAAGTTAGACTAATTTCTCTTAAAGAGCCACAAGTGTAACGATTCATTTTTTCAATGAAATTATGTAGGATGAAACAGGTACTCATCTTTCTGTTTAGCTATTCATCAGTGAGGTAGATTATTTAGTGACAGAATGAGTCTAAAATCTGATTATTAGGTGTCTTTTAACTGAACCTACCAGTCATTGACATGTATCCATCTGGAATATGATTGAGTAGAGGGTATCTCATCCATATTGACCACAACTATGTAAGTAAAAGGACCTGGCGACCGGTGACTGTACGTACATGGATTACTGCAGCCAGTAACAAGTTAAAACAGTGAGCTCCCAAATGAAGTTGTATAACCTTTTTTTGTCCCAATTATTACTAACGAGATATCACTGTTTTAGCTATAATTTTCAGGTTTGACCATGACTGGAATAAAGAGATTTTTGATATTCACCTATACCGATGAATTTACAAACGATAAAAACTTCATAAGGATGCAAGATTTATTATTAAAGAAAAAAGATGTCAAGCAGGAAAAAAATTTATATCTTAAGCTGGCATTCTTCACGGAGCAAAGTCACTTGGAAAGCCACTGAAAACCATAGAGAGCTTGATACATGCTTTTTTATAGTTCAGGACTCTTTACTGGCAAGCACCCAGGGTCAGCAGGTTCCATGGTAGAAACGTTACCATTTAGCTACTGGGTCAGAACATGATGAATCATCACCCAGTGCCATCTTTGAGTATCTGCCTTCACGTTCGACTTGATTTGCCCTAAGGGTAACGACTTATTATTAGAAATTCCACCTAGAAGCACGTAACTAGTGACGATTGTGCTACTGATGATCACTGCTGAAGAATCCGTACTAGAACGAAACAGTTACATAGTGGTCCTTTTTATAATGTCATTTCGTAATGAATACCACTTTCAAATTGAAACTCCTCATGAAAATCCAGAGGAAATTGGCACCTTAGTTTAACGCTTGACTGTTAATCACCTAACTTCGATACAGGAAGTTTAGATTGCTTCGAAAGTAGTTGGCAGTGAGTTGTTATGCTTATCATCAATTTTGATGAAACTGCAATAACACACTGAATTAAAAAATTCTCCGACTTAATAATAAATATGTGTTCTCTACAGGGAATTTCTTGTTACAGAACTTCGTTCTGTCTTTACGATGATCTACTGGTTAATATTTGTAGTTAGAACTTAATTTGTTAATTAATCATGCTACGGAGTACGCAAAAGTACTTCAAGTGGAATTTCTGATTTAGCAAGATTCGATCTTAAAGTTTTTATAACAAATGCTAGCCCATTCTACCGCGGTTGGAGCTTTGAAACATTGGTATAGATGTTGTTTTTTGTATTATACCACTGTTGAGTGGGCCGGGTTGATCGGTCTCTATTAGCACATGGACTTCTGCAAGGATGCCTCAATATTGCTTGTGTTTCGGTTATACAATGATGATGGATAGTGGCCGGTAGTGGAATCCTGGAGTAGTCACGTGGATGTACCTGCCTCCCACTTAGCTATGTTCTTCCTACTACGACTCGAACTCGGGACCATTCTGTTGAAACGACAGAGCACTATCCACTAGACCACCGAGTCAGGATAGCCATTAAGTTTCAGTCCTAGTGGGAACAACATCGCTCACTGGAAGGCAGGTGCATCTAGGTGAGGAGCCTTAAATGGGATGAAACGCGCGTCCTCGATTTCACTACTGGACACTACCCATCAATAATTAACATAAATGTCATAAATCTTTACTAAATGGATATCATGATCTAGCGTACGCGGTCCTGAAGGTTGTTGCTGGATTTCGTCAAACATTAGATATATTAAGTATGAGTATGTTTTGACGACAGAAATTATAGCCTAGCATACTAACAGTTGCAGCCTTTATTTGTAAAAACGGTAATCAGTTCACCTTCAATCAGATATAATGTAAACATTTAATATTCAGTAATAATATTTTCCTTATCGGTTTAAGTACTAAACTTTCACATTAGTGCATTCATACTCCCGAAACTTTCTAAATGTCAAGTGTTTATATTCTTCCTAATACTGATGAAAATTAGTTTATGTAGTATAAATAACCCCTGACATTCTATCGCCTCACTGAATACTCTCTAACTTAAACGAATTGACTGAGCAGCATGTGTACTAGGAAGTCAGGAGAAAAACAGTTATCACATTTTAAAAATCATCAGACAGCTAACTAATAAATGTAAAGATGAAATATGCTTGTTTTTATAGGAACAGATCATTTAACTTAGCATACAACTGATGACCTGGAGACATCTGATTCGCATATGTATGATGTAAATTACTGATAAAATCGTATTGCCCTGATTTCTGTTTCCTATTCTGATAAGTCAAAAGGAATATCTATGTACCGATTATTGCTTCATTTTACTACATATCAGTGACGCATTGTTTTGTCCGCTACTAATGGATTCGATGTGACCTTATTCAGTTTTTTGATATTTTGCAGTGCATTCGGTGCATCAAGAGTATGTCTAATACTTTTAAAGAGTATGAGTACTGATCCTAATGCTCGGTTTCAGATTCAGATAGAAGGTTGAAACAATAAGTACTGTAATTCATTGCCTAATACTCTTATCCGCTTTTTCTTAACAAGATGATACTCAGAACATCGTAAACCTTATGGGTAGACTTTGTTAATCGCTTTGAGCTGAATATTTTAATTGACTAGTACCTAGTGGCATGTTCCTTTATTACTAAGATGTTATAAAGTTTCACTGAAAGCTTAGGGAGATTATTAATTTTTCAGTATTTCACGAATAAATTCCAAGGTAATTAGCGGTGATAACGATGATTATCGGATGTAAAGTTGCTGAACGAATTTGCAGGATACACATTGATGGTAAACTGGACTGCTGTTTTTAGTGGAATAATTAAGCCTAACCCCTCCCTCCGTTTGTCTTCCTTAGTTGGTTTTTAGGACTATCGTTCCCTCTTTCGCCCTATTGTTTATCCGCATGTACAGCTACGTGTGAGCTTCCCACTATAATTTTTTATTCTTAACAGGGTCTACTGATCTTGACTTAGTACAGATTTTGGCTGAGACAGCATAACTGACCATAGTTGACAACTTTGATCTAAATATTTGAACTTAGGTCATCGTGTATGCACAGCTTCGAAGTATATTTCTTAATTTTGGTTCACAGCCAATGCGTTATGTTGACTACAAAACAACTACATATTTCTCTTAGCTGCCAACATACCTAAATGATATCATTCACAGAAAAAATCCGTTAGTGATAACAACTAGTAGCTTTCGATCGGTTCATTGCACAATGGATCACCAAGAAAATGGGCTTGAGATCATGAAGATTTTCCTAAACATTACAAATACGGCTTATTTATGAGTGCGGATAAATATTAGACCTATCTTCTGAACATCCAATCAGTAGCTTATAACAAACCAAGCACCAGAAGGCTGTGGTTTTAAATTTCGATTCGCATTTTTCCATATGATAAAATCTTTCTGAAATAAAGGTAGCCTTCTAAACGGTGAATATTTCATTCTTGGTTTGTGGGGATTTCGTTGTTTTAAGTTGGTATTCACTATGGACTGACATAAGTTAGATGAATACTGGAAGCCTGAGAACACCTGGCAGCTATATCATCCTAGCATGGGACTCCTCAGTGTTGCGTACCCATAATCTCATCTCTCCAAGTATCAGCTGGAGGTGACCAGCCTCCAGAGGTGATTTCCGAAGTTTCAGTGAAAAGTCGTGAACAATGGGGCAAACATGGTGGACATGAGAACAAATACTCGACGATGACATTGGTTGATGGTCAGATGGTTACTGACCCAGTGGCCCAGTGATAACGTGCTAGCCACGTAACACGAAGGTCCAGGGTTTAATTATTGGCGGGATGGGATCATGTGTGCGCACTGCTGAGTTCAATACTAGGACGAAATAGCTGTCTAGTGATCTAAGGTTTCAAATATTCCTTCAACTGATGTCAGTCAATGATGAAAACCAATTTGATATTTCATTTTGCCGAATATATGTATGTAAATCAAGCGAAACAGATAACGGAAATCCTCTCTTATTATAAGCTTATATTAAAGGATACAACAGTGATTAGTAGGAAATAGAATGAAAAAAGTAGATGAATTCACAGAACTGATGTACAAAATCGGTTTTATTTATCCTAAAAGTACCATCCAACTGCTGAAACTAGTTAGGCAGAACGTTACTAACTTCCTGTGATTCAGACCAGAAAAGAAGAAGAAAATTGTTTGTTCAGTGGATGTGGGATAATCATTATTAATTATTTTATATTTCGTAAATTAATCTGCTTAAATCTTAAGACTACTTCAGACAGCTGATATTTATTAATATTCAGTTAACCTAACTTTTGCAACTGCAACTATATCTTAGTTTCGAAACTAGGTTTGAAATGGCCACAAACCAAAGCGAAGTCAGAACATCAGTTTCATCTAATATGTTTAGCAGTCGAACTTAAAACATAGCTGTTAGAATAGAATGAATACCTGACTATTCGTCTTATCTGAACGATAATCATGGTTGTTACCAAAAGTGATTCTGCAAAAAATAAGGGTTTAGACTGACTGCTTGCACTTATTGGTATTTGCTAACCTGAATTCGATAAGCTTATGAAAGAAGGTGAAACGACTATTTTATTTCAAAGTTGGTATACTTCTCATCTTTTGAATAATTTGCACTAACATTTATTATCTGACATAATGTGTATTACTTAGAAAGTGCTTCACGGACTTCACTTCAGGCAGAATAATTATCTAGTTTTTGTTTAGATTTCAATTAGTGTAAAACAGTAAAATTGTCACCTGAAAAAATCTAATAAAGGTAATGCAAGGGTGACTTATTATAGCCTTCTCGTCTGTTAATACACATTCAAACTCGTATATTCAGCAGCTTCAATCAACTTGCTGTCTATCACAAGCTTACGGATTCAAAACTGAATGTCATCACAATTTGAAACATGTGTGAGCAAGAGAAATCGAAACATTAATCAAAGACCATCAACATTTCAGAAAAGTATTTTACACTGACATAGAAAGTGTGATGGATAGAACGTAACTGTAGCTTATTAGGTATACAATACGGCAGATCAGTCAACTACAGTGTTGTTAATTAGACGACAGGCTGACAAAAGCATTGCTTACATTGAAACATGAAAAAACATTTAAAGCTCTTTAAAATATACAGAATTCAGTGCATTTCCATAATAACGATAATGAGTTTCTTTGTCTTAGAAAATTCATTGATCCTCAATAGCTTAATAAAGATTCTGAGTGAAATACAATTAGGTGATGGTTTCTAAAGTATCAACGATTTTTGAGGTTGAAGAAATCTCTGAACTGCTACGCTTGAATACACCTAGCTATTTACAATATTGATAATTTTTGAAGTCGCTTCTTAACGCAAAATGCAAAAAGCTTGAGAATCAATGAATACCATGAAACTGGAACATCTGTTATACCGTAGCTTCCTGATATTAAATAGGTGTACTCAAGACTTTCCAATCAAGGGGTTTATAAACCGTGCTTCAGAAATCCTAAATGATCGTCAAGTTTGATGTGCGAGAAATCTAGTAGAAGAAAAACATGTTACAAGCTGATGCTCCACAATATTTAAAAATTGTCATTCACACACGTGCACACACCTCAAGTATCAGTTACTACTGTGTAGTTTAACGGAACATTTAGCCACAAAGTATGATTGTCGATCTATACCGGGCTACATGTCTGTGGTAAAACATGCAAAATACCAAATATTTATTTCACAAAATGATTTTTTACTGTAATCTTTCAGTCAGTGACCTAAAAGAAGTACAAGAAGACATCATTATAACATATTTCTCGGTAAAATCTGATTATCCAGTTGAGTAGACTTGGCAAACGGCTTAGACTGCGATAACCATGAAATTAATTTCAACTTAGACGTTATGTCTTGTAGTGTTGTTTACGGTACTGCTTGAAATGTTCTTCCCAACAATGCATTCTGAGATATTATAAAATAACTCTGGTATTCAGTAACTCTATCTGTTTGTATTGAAAACAATCTTAAGAGTTTAAAATATTGTAGTGGTATACAAAAATCAAAAACCAACATAACTGAGTCCGAGACTTGTTGGAAGTATCTTTATTCTTAGCGTACTTACCTGGATAAGAATATGCTTTCGAAAAACCCTGTTACTTCGAAGCTTCTCAATAATCTATCTTGTCGTTTCTCATATGTTGTTATGCAATCCAGACTTGAAGTTTTATTTCAAATATATTTTTTAAATAGAATTTTGTATGTACTCTTAGTGTATATGATTAAAAGATTGAACCACTGTTGAAAGTAATTAGATTTTAGTTACAATTTAAGCCTCATTTCAATCTTTCGGTGAAAATGAAACAGAATTATTGAGGATAATTTTAACTGTCATTGTAAATGACTAACTACAGTTAAGATTCATAATGAGTGACATTTATCAAAGAAACCCACTGTAGTTTGATAATGTATAGCAGATATCATACATATTTGACAGAAGCTGATGGTGAAAATATATTCTATCACACATCTGTCTAAAAACGTTATGCTTTTCCTTCATTAAGCTGACTATATTCGTTGAATTTAAGAGCTCACACGTAATTCAAGATGTATGATAGTACTTATCTCATGAAGAACCAGCTGGTGTTAGCCACTTTTATCACATTTATACGCACTGCACACGTATCAATGATTCATCGTTATTTTTGATGAGCAGGTCGCTGATAATGCACATATACATATATATAAATATACTTTAATGGTGATTAATCAGTGCTCGCTTTTATATCTTTGTTAAATTGAATAATATGTCAAAGTGTAGATGAACTGTGTAACTGTCTGCAGTGTTTAAAAGTAGGATTATTTCAAGTTATCGAATGAAAGTGAGAGCCATTCAGGTGGAAGTTATGCATTGAAAACCTTACGATAAGTAAAGAAGTAATACATGGGGAATGTAGTAAGTTATAGTTCCATTTCAGTCTATTTATTAGATATTTCAGCATGTGATGCGTCAAATAAACTGACTAAAATGGAACTTATGTGTTTACATTCGTTCATATGCTGACTGGAAAAGCTAAGCTTCATGTAGGATTCAAAATTTCAGATTGTTTTTTTTCACCTATGTACAAGTCGTTCATGCCTCTTCATGCCGAAACAATTAACTTAAACACACTTCTAAACTAAAGTCGGATAGATCATTATTAAGACAAACAGACAGATAGAAGTGGAGTATCAGTATACAGTATGATAAAGTAGATTTGCAATTTAAAACCGTTTTAAAATGTCAGCTTAGAAATGCTCAGGAAAACAAAGCGACCGTAGAATATGATGATGTTTTTTGATGGGATAAAAAGGTTCAGACACACGAATTCAGGTTATATCAACTGTAGAATAAAATTTAGATAAAAGATGTTCTCCCTCCTGTCATCTGACTTTACAGGGTCTGATATCATCACAGTAGATACCTTGGTAGATCTCGAGTAGGCAGATTATAATGGACTGTTAGGTGAAGGTACTGACAAGATATCAAGTCTTCTAAGCACTTCAAGTGGAAATCTGTGAATATTTGGCTTGTTTTTCTCAACAATCAAATGTAAAATTCTTCTTCAGGACTAGTCTTTAGCGGTTCCCCCTTCCTAGGGAGTCGAACGGCTTGGTGCACTGAACTTTTCGCTTGTCACTGGCGGGTCAGTAGCCGATGGATCTGTGCATTGATTCAAAAGACTCTACTAGCTCTTACCAACCCTTGTCATCTATGACGTCACCAGCATATCTGATTGTCTAATTAGAATTCAGTGTACTGCCCTGCGTTTCTCTCTGTTCTACTGAATGACCACGAGACATGACCAATAAAGACAGAGAATATGAGAGCGCTTTACTTATTTTATCACTGTTTCCTTCATGGCGTAGGGTAGGTGTCGGAGTATCACCATGTCAGTAATGTTGAAGTCAGTTGTTGAGTTGCAGAAGAAGAAAGTGAGCTGATATGGTTATGAACCTTTACTAAATGAGATGATGGGGAAACAAGCTGCACATACTTGGTCATCGTCTGCCTAGTTGCACAATGTTAGCTGAAGTAAGTTTACTTTCGAAAATGTTCAGAGGCTGCCAAATTATAGTGTGGTATCAGTCCATGAAGTCAGCCTTTTCAAGGGACTGTAGACTTTCCATTTAGAATCTCCTTAATAACAGACATCAGTGGTTGGAGACTCAAGGTGGCACAACTCTTAATTAATATCAGTGGCGCATTTGTACCCACTCATTGTTTTTACCTTAATCGTCGCACTGAATTTCGCCATTGTCTCATTCTTCCTTATTCTCTTTCTTCAGTTCCCTGTAATTCTTGACTGCTTAGTTCTTTCTTTATATTTCATTTTAATGCTTCCTCGCTCGATGTTCTGACATGGAATTTGGCAAAATGAGAGGTTGCGCAGTAATGTCGGATTCCATGTTGACAATGATAAAATTGATGATGAAGAGGAGCAGAAACGCGTTATTGGTAGGAGTTTTAGAAGCATCTGATTTCAGAACCAACACAGGCTTTTTTTGAAATTGTACTACATAAGCTGTCAGACTTGAAACCAGTTAGTAAAACTTTGTCGATTAATATACTGGCTGCTAATAAGAGGAGGATTCAGGGGTTGCAGCAATAAAGAAGCCGAACCACTCAGAGAATATGGTATCAATTTTTGTAGAAAGCGCCTGACTTAGGGCTGAATATTTAAATGATGAAAATACTACACGGCCACGATATTAAGCATCGACATAAAATCTTGAAATGTAGGTTAGTCAGTAGAGCATCATATATTGGTCTTAAACCTAGTCGCCTGAGAATCATCTGTATATATCTACAAGCAGAAATACTCAAACTTAGACCAGTTATCTACACCATCAGCACTTGATGCACCGAGCTTGTTCAGTGAGTGGACAAGTTGCTAAGAAACTTCTAAGCATGTCTGAATACACTAAAAGGTAGACTAAGTAAGATTCGTTTAATGAATAACATACTTTGACCAAACTACTTATTTTCAGTCGTTAGCCAGTAGAAATAAAGGAAAGCATTTATCATTTCTGAAAAGAAACAACTAGACCCAAAACTACTTATACAGTTGCAGTGATTATGTGCTGTGAATGCACAAAATTATTTCAAAAGTAATTTATGTACTGAAACTGATTGACATGTCATGGCAAGTTGTGCGCTGATTTCTGGCTGATACAACGAATTAAATCCAATAGGAAAACGTGTTAGTAAATGCTCTCATTTAGCCAGCACATCTTGGAAAAAAATGGATGACATCTTTGTTGTATGCGGCGATGTTAATCAAATCATAAGTTCACAAGAAGTATTTAACAAGACCTATTTCAATATTGTGTATATCAAGACAATCTTTACTGCACCATACAGTTTATACATTTAGATATCTCCCTAAAAAGTGCCCAGAGTTTGAAGGCAAATACATAAAAAAAGGCGTGTTATGGACAGTATTGTATCTTAATTGGCCGCTGAATGGGCTAAAAACAAGATCATATAAGAATACCTTTGATAACTAAATTCATGAAAAACGCTGCGATATGAATTCGTTAAAATCGAGGTATCTTCGGGAAACTGGCTGTTCAGTGATACAATAATACATGGGAAGAAACTTCGCTGAAACTTGAAATATAGTCTAAGTCAGTTCAATTGTTTTTTAGGCGTCATCTCTTGAGAGAAAAGATTCATCAGTTGTTGAAATAAGGAGTGATAAAACTGGTATACGCATGGTGGACACATTCTTTAGAGGAGCAGATAAAGTTTGATAGGTGCGTGATGGATATTTCCTAAAGTTTTATCTACTAATTTACTTATGAATGCGATATAAGTTACACTGATAGGAAGAAAATTCCTTCAGTTTTGTTTACTCTAAATATACACAGGAAGTAGTCTCAGAGAAACAAAAAGTGTCAACAGACCAAGTATGACATCTGTTGGTTACGGTATGAAATTTAGTATAATGTACAAATGTACATAAAACAATTAATGAATAGGTTGGACCGGTTTTTTTGTAATTCGCACTGACGGATACGAGCAGGTTGTCAAAATATGACATTCGTGCTCAAAAACGGATAGTGCCAATATCCAGCCGACTACTAAATTTATCGTTTTCCTGTTGTAAATGCGAATATTGTTTTAAGAGTTAAGGATAAATATATCTTTTTCAACTAATTTCTGTTCATCAGCTACTTTTTCTTTTTGAATACTGTTTGACCATCACAATAAAATTTCTATTCCATTTCAGTTGTAATTTAGTACTCTGTATTCGGAATTTTAACTTATTCCGGCTGATTATCTAAGTAAGTAAGCCATCCAGTTTTCATTTTGAATTATGACGACGATTTCTTTTCATCGTCTGGATGTAATTGGTTAGTGCATAGTTATAGAGAAGATAATGCCCATCACCGATGTCACAACATTCTAAAAATGAAACCGTTCTCACCCTTTTTCAGGATCCCTTACTAAAACTTTGTGTCTCAAACGTTCATGTTTGCGTCTATGGTGAGTGCTACTGTAAAGTTTATCAAGTAAGAGAGATATTCAATAAGTACCCAGAAAGCATTTATTAACATTCTTTTTGACGAATAAACACTATGTTCATAAAAGTAAGTAAAATTTCTGAAGTGACTTAGCAGCAAATATATACATGTGTCCATCTGTATGTATATACATGTACCTTCGACAGCGTCGACCGAGAGGTAATTTGGCAGCTAGCTGATTCTACACTACGGAGTACCACAAACCTTTATCAATCTTATTCGACAGCCATATGAAGACGCCACATGTCGAGTGATCCACAATGGAAAGCTCAGTGACGCCTTTGAAGTGAAGACAGGAAGGAGTTAGATAAGGTTGCCATCCACCATCTCACATGATCTTCCTGGTTGTGGTGGACTGGATCAAGTAGCAAACTATGAGGAGCGAGAAGGGGGAAATACATTGTTCGACTGATGAAAAGACCTCAGTTGAAGACTTGTATTTTACCAATGATGATGATTTATATCTGATGTTTTGTCGCACAAAATCGAAGGTTTACAGGTGGAAGCCAACAAGTTGACAGAATAGGCGAGGCAGTGAGGGCGGGACTAGAAGTGAATACAGAGGAGACAGAGGGGGTAAAGATGCCCCACCACCAACAACAGGCATCAATAACGAATAACGGGAGAAACCTAAGGAAGTTGTCTCTTTCATCCACTTACGCAGCATTGTTTGAGCTACAGGCGGTGGCACAGATGAAGACATCAAAGCCAGGATCAAAGAGGCGACAAGATAGGCCTACATTAATCTGAAATCACTGTGGAGATCTACTGCACTGCACTCAGCATGAAGCCAGAACAAAATCTGGATTTTTAACACCAATGACAGTTAAGTCAGTGCTGGTATGCGGTGGTTGAGAAACTTTTCGTGTCACGAAAAGTATTTACAACAAACTACAGAAATTCACCAACAGCTGCTGCCTATTTTCACACGATACTGAATATCAGATGGCGAGAAAGAATAAGCAACAAGGAACTCTGGCCTGTTAGTGAACCAACCAATAACCTATCGCCCAACAAATATGTAGAAGAAAGTGGAGATAGACTGACCATACACTGAGAAGGTCAACTGGGGACATTACGCGCCAGACCCTCGACTGTAACCTAAAGCAGGAACGTCGAGTTGGGCGTTCGGGGCAAGGGTGACATAGAGGAGATCATGTTAGGAAGAAGTGAAAGCTTGTGGGCAGTTGTGGAGCCAGGTTGAATGGACTGGAGAGAAGAAAGTTGTAAGGAGATGTGCCACTTAAATCTCTTTGTTCCACTAGGAACCTGAAGGAAAAATAATAAATAATAACGCATAAGTTATTGTCAACACGATTTCAAAAAGAAAAGTTTTGGTGTAGTATTTTACTGCAAATGTGAATGTAGGGTCTTAAACTATGGATCTCCGCAAGTTCAGATATTATTCTAGCGAAACAGCCTGATTTTTCATCTAATTCACCTCAAATTTCTGATTCTGACTTATAAGTTGATTTTACAAAAAAAAATTATACAAATATATCTGTGGATTTGACCATATACCCAACACAAATAATAAACTTACTCATTTTTCAATGCCATAAATTCTGGTAAATCAGGAAAATTTTTAGGCATTTACAAAGGTCATTTCCAACAAAGAGTAAGGATTCATATTTTTTTACTGTATGACAATGAAGATGCTGCCAATCAACTGTTTAACTTGAAGATCTCAGAAGTACAATTTCCTCCTGAATAGTTAACCTCCAGCTACATAATAACAGTATGCAAGCATACATTAAATTATTCGTTCTTGCTACATATTGAAGTTTAGATCGTATTGTGCTTATTCAATGAATTAACATTTCCTGAAGATAGATACCCTATTGAAAGTTAAAATTCATTTAAAATTTATTGAAATATTCTAGTAAAGTCGGAGGATAAAATTACCTCTTACCTTTTGTTGGTGAAGTCAATGATAATGTAAAAGAAAAACGTCATTTCAGAGGACTATGAGTTAGTATTGTACAAGATATAGTGGATTACTTTAAATTTTATGATGGAACAACTTAAGTTGACAATATGAGACCTAAATTCTATTTTCTTTCACAATATCACAATACACTACTCCAGTACCCTGAAATGTACCCATTTGGTTAAATGTTTTTGTTAACTTTACGGGGGGCATGTCATTGAAAACATAAAACTTTAATGGTTCTGTCATTGCAAATGAAAATACATTGTACTTAAGAAGTCACAGGAAAAGAAATAAGTAGCAGTAAAGTGCCAAGTTTTTCATTTTTGAGTAAAAAACAAAGTGGTCAAACGAGACGAAAGAATATGAGCAATATATGAAGTGGTTTGGTGTCAAACACTTCCTCATTTTTTTTCAGCTAAGCTCTCTGAATGTTTTCTGAGGGTGACAGATCAGTTATTCAAAGCTCCAACTAAATGACTGCCCGATAACCCGTAGTTCTTTCAAAACCAGCAGTCATTAACAAAAGAATGTGCATTATTGTTAGTTTTGAGTAAAGCCTTTTTGTCCATAAGCTGATACTTCTACATTATATGACTAAAAGAAACAGGTTACAAGTCCTCAACATAAGTTTTCTATTTAATGGCATTTGTCGGCGAGATGTGTCTGTAACCCTTGTCACATTTAGAAATTTTAATACTGGACAAGTTCTTTGTTACCATACTGAATGTTCAATCCAATGGTGAGTATTTCTATTTTCTGGTTTATCCATTTTCTTCCATCAGGACCTTTTATATCTCCGTATAATAAGCTAATATTCGCACTGCAGTGTTGGCACAGAAAAATAATCAAATTTCGTAAGATAACAAGCTTGTGCACCTTTCCGAATCGTTCATTTTTATTTAAAGACTTCTAAAGTGTTAGAATATTAGCTGCCATGAATTATTTTATCTATGAGTCTAAATAACTGTAAGAAATGCAGCGATTACTAAAGAAGCTTAGAAATAAGCCACTCGTAAAAGTGATATTTTGTGACTATAATAAGTAAACAGTTATGCTTTAAGTAAAGAATTTTATACTTTGACACAAATATATAACAATAAAAAGGAATAAAAAAGTAATTCTTACCACGTTTTGGAAGTCCTTTACCCACTAAACCCAAAGAAATTGCAATCAATATGAATATATCTCCTAAACATGGTAAAAATGATTTTTGCATTGAATCGAAGGTTGAAATGGTTTGTTTCAAGTATAGTAAGCTTTTCAGCTGTGAGCAAATAATCGTTAAAAGTTGTTAACGCTTATACAAAGTAGTTTCTGAAGTCAAGTTAGAATTACCATCGTCTCAAAAAAGGCATCCCTCCAAAAGTTTCCTAGACAATAAAATACCTTAGATCACAACTAAGCAAAGACTATTTTGACATCGCTATACGCGAAAATAAAAGTCTGTCTAGCTGTAGAAATTAGAAGACTTAGCAAAGATAATTTCATAGTAGTATGAATGGAACAGAAAAATTAGAATAGAATAAGAACAAAAATCGGACCAAGATAAGACGGATCCATTTATTTCGGTGATAAAATATCGACTGCCTACTAACAAAATATTAAGATATTTAGTTTTACTGGACTTAGCATGCTTTAATTCGTCGAAAGAGAACAGAATATTGGTCACTGGTTACAACAAACAGAAAGCCTGACAACGACAAATTTATGGAAATTCAAGAAATGGTAACAAGTTGTCACAGTTATAGATATAATAAGTTTCTCGAATGAATTAATCACAAGAGTGGCAATCAAAATATTGAAAAATTTAACACTATAACACCTCTTAACTAGATCGTACAATGCTCAAATTTATCAATATATTATGAGCTAGGCTGGGTTAGCCAAAAACTTTCGATATGACCAAGTGATACCGCAACCAAATGAGAGTGAAGGATTAAACACCCAAGGGTAACAAAGAATGAACTATTCAAATAACAATCAACAAGGGTTACGAAAGTAGACAAGGATTGACTTTTTCTTTCAATGAGTTATTATTAAATTTTGAGTAAAACTATATACATACTGATATTATAGGTTGTAAGTACTTGGCAGTATAACAACGAAACTGAATGAATCGGTTTTATTCTGCTTGCATTATTGTTTTTGCTGTTTCTAAATTCGTAATGGCGAATACACGTAAGGTAAAAAGATTTATATAAAAGTTTATAGGAAGTTAATTATTGTCCATTAAAGAAAAGAGAATTACCTTTATGTGAGACAAATCCCGCTTGGTTCTCATTCCTTTATTTAGGTTAACTAGCTTTAGAAATGCATCGTCTGGTGTGACCATTTTTAAAAGTCTCACATTCATGACTGTTCACATAGTCAACCAAGCTGACCTTCAAATTTGAAGCTTTCTAATAGCTTTGCTATCGATTTACGTTGTAATCAACCACTAATAGCTAGAAAGTATCACTTCAAAGTTGTTATAAATAGAAGGTTCATTGATTTGATTGATTTTAGAATGCATAACCAGTGGAGTTAAACTTGATTATTGAAAAATCATGTGATTATTATTCAGATAAAATTATCTTGGAAGTGAAGTATGGTAGATTAGATGTACATCCTTGGCAAAGTTTAAACATGATAAACAACTGTCCGAAATGCATAGTTAATGAAAGCCTCTACTTATCAGCATTTTCAAACAGTTCTCTGCTAACTGTTACATCTAATTCTTACTAAGTAAACATAGCCATTTCGTCTATCACTTTTATAAGACTAAATCCCTTTTAGAGATCATAAGTACCACTAATAATCAGTGCTAAAATACAAGAACTGTGGTCTACTGGTAACCGAAACTGGTTAGTATGAGATAATGTTTCACCGCATTTTCCTAACAGAATCTTAAATTTATATCTTTAATTCCACTGTGATTCCACATTTTTCTAACTCCTCATCCTTCAACTTCAGTTTAACTTCAAGTTTATTGTAAGCTATATATTTTTTACTATTACTATTTCCTTCTTGAGTTTGACTTTGATAAAGCAATTAAACTTTTTATTACCAATTTTATTAGAAGGTTTTTTAAATTCTAACAGCACATTTAATTTTCAAGATATGCTCATGTGGGATCTATTTTTCTTATTTATGAGATTTTTCAAATTGTTTGGCAAGTTAACAGACATAATTGGCAAACCATCATGTTTTCAGTAGTTAAGACATGTTACAACAATTCTTCTTTTCACTTGCCCAATTTATCATCAACCTAGTATGATACAAATTGACCGTAAGTAATTCAAATGTATGAGAAGTTATCACGCAATGCTGAAGGGCAAAACGCCTACTCCATTCATGAATTAACTGATAAGCTGGATTTACGAAGATGACTTCATCAGCAGAAATGTGTGAAATCATGTCTAACCTCTGTTAAACTAATTTGCCATTTGCATTGCATAAACTTACAGCCACTTTTGACTTTATCTAAATAAAGACGAAGGAAATTATAGTGAGTTTCACAGTGAAGCCATTGTTTAATTAAATTTCAAAAGGAATATGATCACTCATCCCTCCTTTCAGAATCTTTTCATTAGGAAAAATCATGCCAGTTTTGAAGTCGAGATACACAAGTATGAATGGTTAATTAAGCCAGAAAAGCAGACAAACGTACAAAACGTTTTTACCAAGTAACACTTTCGTCTTACTTTAATAAAATGAGACCTAGACAACAGCTAAAGCAGTCTTAATGTGAGTGCGGGTCTCTGTCACTATATGCTTGGGAAGACGTTTTTACATTATCTATCTTGTACCAACAGTAGTGATACACTACTACAGTCAAAATTGATCATACCTCGTTAGTTACTGTGATTGAGCGATGTTGAAATTTTTCTGATTGGATGTTATGTAAATCCATTTCAAATGATTTCTTTTAGTGGGATCTTTCGTTTAGGCTGATTATGAAGAATAATTTTAAGGAAATAGTAGTAGCACTGAGTTAAAAAATATTCACCTAACTACTAGGACTATGTGCAGGTTATAAAATGTGCTACAAAGTTATTATCACGAAAACTTAAGTAAATAAATTCACTGGTGAAATAAATGAGAAAAATACAGAAAATCGGTGATTATATGTGCGTTACAAGCAACACTGACGCACAATGGAACTCCTTATGGAGTATACTGAGTTCAGATGGGAAATCTAGTTCAAAAAGAATAAACTATTGGATGAGGTTTTGTAGTTACTCTGTGTGGGGTGTCATAGTTGTCTACTACACACTTATAAAAACATGATGAAGATTAGTGTAATGTCAAATCGTGAAAACTCTGTAAAAACAGTATAAAACATGACTTGGTTAATTAGTGACTGTCAACCTTTTCAACAAGGAGTAATTTTTACTCATTGTACGAGGACCTGAAGGTTTTGAAAGCCAGTGGTTAGATACAATAAATGATATGTTGTAAACGTTGTCAGGAGAGCAACTTGATGGTTCGTAGAATCCTCCGTTGGTTTCCTCCTTATGTGCTATCATATAAGATAGTGATCTGAAATAATAAACTTTGGTTGAAAGTACTGTACAGTTGTTATCTGCGTCTATCTGTCTGCCATCAACCACTAAGGAGTTAAATGAGCAACCGAAAAAATTAGCAAGGCTTCATTGTGGAATACTCGTGAATTTTCACACCTTATTAGATAACATCCCTAGTCACTAATTGAGCGATAGAAACCAGTCTCATTAAATTAATACGTAAACTCACGTATTTCAATAGTGGTTATTATAAATACTATGAGAAACATATTCATAGCATAACTCATTTCAGAAGTACGTAAATGGTACCCGAACAACACAGTATCAGGTTTTTATATAGCTACATGAAAAGAAATTGAAAAAGCAGATAGTTTAATACATTTGCTTACCTTACAAAGAAATCATCTTCATAAGGACGTACTTCAAATGATTTTCACTTTTAATAACATAAGCTGCAGTACACACAGTAACACATTTCTTCTTGGACTGCATTTTTTGACATCTCATTAATTAAGCATTAAGTGTTCTCAACATTGATGAGATATACATGAAATAAGCTACGCATTTACGGAAATAATAAAGCATGTAAGTGAAGATGCATACATCCACCTACTGGTTACGTAAAATTAAGTATTACTTGTGAGTGTTTTGCTCAGTTTATTAGGGTTAAGTAAAAATTTATAACTGTTCATTTTGAGGATTTATGGGGATTCATTGACTTCAAGCTGGTATTCATCATGGACTGACATCAGTTGGAGGAATATCAGAAAATTGAGATCACTGGACAGCTGTTTCGTCCTCGTGTGGGACTCCTCAGAAGTGTGCACCCGTGACTGCACCCTTAACAGATCGAACCCATGACCTTCAGGTTACTAGGCCGGCACCTTCCTATTGAGCCACTGGGTCAGAATCCCTTGGTTCAAGTTTCCAACTTCTGTCAGTTCACGACGTACTGTGATCATCACTTAATATCATCGTTGAGTATTTGTCCCCACGTCTACCAGATATGCCCATGCTGTCATGACTTCTCAATGGAATTTCGGGAATCGCCACTCGGAGCTACTCACCTCCAACTAGTGTCAGTCCATGACGACTACCAACTAGAAATAGATAAAATTACCATGAACCCCAAAATGAATTATTTGCGTGCTCGTTGATAACTAGATTTGGGAGGTGATTCACCAAGTACTAATGAGAATTCGTGACCAGTGGGGCAAACCTGATGGACGTGAGGACAAATACTCAACGATGACACTAGTTAATGGTCGCGCTACATCGTGAACTGACAGGAGTTGGAAATTTGAGCAAAGGGATTTTGACCCAGTGGCCTGATGGTAACGTGTTGGTCACGGGACCTGAAGGTCGCAAGTTCTATCCCTGACGGGGTCATGGGTGCGTATTGCTCAGCAGTCCCATACTAGGATGGAACAGCTGTCAAGTGCTTCCAGGCTTCTAATGTTCCTCTGTAGAAATAACAGTTTCAATAGTTTTATCCATATTTATTTTAAAAAATGATAACTGTCCTTACCGGTGAAGGAGTAAACTTTGGTTGCTGCCTAATTTTCATGTTGTCCAAAGAAATGTGCATTGAACTGATTATCATTCAATTCACCCGTTCCTATGAGAGTCATATATAAAGTACCGCTTTTTGATATATCATCTTTTAATACTCACTGTTTGAAGATGCGGGATTTAGCATCTTTCTCTCGAAACTTAAGTTCTGACTGGAAATCTGTTCATTCAGGATACAGTCAAAAAGAAAGTAAAGTAATGAGATTTTTTGTCGTTAGCGTGTAGTTGCTGTGAGCGAAATATTTTAAGAATGGTTCACTTTTCGTCCTCACAAATAAAGCAGTATCGGCGAAAAATTTACCCAATTCGTAAGCTTCCTCCAATGTTTCATATGAGCTCCTTGTGCATTCTTCAGTATTGCCGGTAATTACAGTTATAGTTTGTCGCTAGCATTAAAGTCCAGCTGATGAGTTTCTATTGTAACTAAACACATGTCTTGCTTCTGGAAAACAGTAGTAAATTTCCCTAGGGCTGTTTATTCATCAAATGGAAAGATATTTTGAATCTACAGTACCACCACTCTCAAGAAGTCGTTTTAAAATAATATCTGTCATTTTTTCATATTTATTATTTAAACAAAAGAGATAGATATTACAGTAGGATCTGACATACTCAAAAATTTCTTTGATAATTTCATGTCGAACTACTGTATCGTCATTTATCAGTTCGACTTTATATTTGTTCTTGAATGAGCCCTTCACAAACGATGTAATTTAACGGGAATTGTCTTATTTTATTCAACCTAGTTCGATGATCGGTCAAAAAGTGAATTTTCTAAACAAACATTTTCTGCAGGAATCTAAGATGATTCCTTTTTTAGCCCTTCTAATCTTCTGTGCATCTGATGGTATTTAACTTAATTTATATCTAAATTACCTCCTAAAGAGTTATTGGCTTTATTGGCTTTTCCATTTTCACTCTTTCTCTTAAGACTTTACTGCTGAACTGCTAATTTTGGAAGTAATTATTCATAGATTTTGATTGTCTGCAAGGACAGTTTCAGAAGTGGTAGCCAGTGGAGCTTTTTCCCTAGTTTTTAGTCAAAATGGTAACCAGTAGGTTTCATGAAAGTTTTATTTGCACATTTATGTCAATAGGATGATTACTGAAACTCTAGTTACACTAGACAGTTATTTCTTCTTGGTCTAGGGTTCATCAACAGTGCACACCTATGAGATTGCAAGAAATAGAGTCCACATGTGAACAACTAGCTCCTGTCTACATCAATGTTTACGTATAATTCCACCAAGTAGTAGTCTGTGGAGCGTTTTCGAGGTTGTAGTCTGCTTCCGTGAATCGTTTACTGAAGCTTCTACTTTTAATCAAGTTTTTTTCGCAAAACGAAACAGTAAAGTTGATTTTTCTGTTGGTAAAAATCCTTTTATATAATTGAAAATTCATCTAAACCACTTGGTTTTAAATAACTTAATTTTTTCTGAGCAAATTGTTAAACCAAAGAGTTCAGCTTGATCCATATTCACAGCGGACGGAGTGAATAGGCGAGTGTCTCAGGTTACAATCATTTAGATGATCTAATAATAATAATAATCTGTTTATTCCAAACAATGATTGTTAATACAGTGTGGAATTCTTAGTGTGATATTTACAAATTTACTGGTTGTACCATAGTTTCAAGTTAAAAAGCCATTGTAGTTAAATGTTGTTAGTAACAACAGTATTCTTAACAGTGAAACATAACGACCTGTTGCTTTTAGGCTATCATCAAGTTTGTGGGTAAGTTGTTGCACGAGGAAGCGAGTTGAATGGTACTCATAGGTTTGATGGTCGAGTATTGTTTAACCAGTATAAAAAAATTTCCAGTTTCTGCTAACCATCCCCATAAAACTTATATGACGAACTGTTGTGAACTCAAGAACCCACTGCTATCTACCGTGATATTTTTTTATAAGTTTGGCTATTAGATTATGTAACGACAAGTTGTAGACACTTGAGAATGATCAACAGTAAATTTTACGATATGTCGACATTTGTATAATTAAAAACTATAAAAGCATCACTTCGATATTATAAATAATGTAAACGTTATGGCAGCTCAAATTCTGAACAGGTTGCCAGGTGTTTGGTATCAATCATAACAAAAGAAAACGATGAGCTGACAACTTTAAAAAACTCTTCAATCGATCATCACCTGCAACTCGTCCAGAAACGCCACCAACATCACAGTCACAGAACTGTCAGTGAACACAAACTCTCAAGCAAAAGCATAAGTGAAGTCCTGAAAGCCATAAATTTGCCGATCAGATGGAATTCCTCCAGAAGCACTGAAAATAAACGCAGAGACAACAGCAAACATCACTACTGCGGGAGATTTGCAAGGGAAGAAAGAATAGGTACCTGCCGACTAGAAGAAGAGCTACTTTGTCAAACTCCTAAAGAAGGGCAACCTAAGTCTTTGCAAGAATCATGCTTCTGTCCACACCTAGCAAAATAGTAGGCCGCACTAGATTCAAAATTACTACTGGAATAGGCTGACTGGCTTCAGAAATTACAAATCATGTATGGATCAAATCGCAAAGCAACGCTACTCTACGCATTATCATAGAACAGAGCATAGAATGGCAGTCAACTCCACTCAACATCAACTTCATCGACTTTGAAAAGGCCTTCGACAGCGTCGACCTGGAAGTAATTTTAAAACTGCTTCAACACTACTGTTTTAATACCACAAACTTTTATCAACCTCATTCAACAGCTATATGAAGACACCACATACCAAGCGATTCACAGTGGAAAGGTCAGTGATGCCTTTGAAGTAAAGATAGGAAGGAGTAAGGCAAAGCTGCCACGAATATCACCGATGAGCTTATGATTGTGGTTGACTCGGCTGGACTGAATCATGCAACAAAGTGTGAGGAGTAAGAAGAGGGACATATATTGTTTGACCGATGAAAAGACCCCAGAAGTAGATTTGTATTCCGCCAACGATGATGATTTGTGTCTGATGTCTTGCCGCATCAAATCGAAGATCTACAGGCAGAAACTGGACTTCCTTTAGCATCAACAACAAGCACCAATCACCATGAACAGGAGAAACCGAAAGGAAGTAGTATCTTTTACATACATACCTAGGCAGCATGATTCCAACTACAGGTGGCGGCACAGATGAGGACATCAAAGCCAGAATTGGAAAGGCAGCATGACAGACCTTCCTGCATTAATCTGAAACCAGCGTGCATGGAGATCTACAGCACTGCACTTCACTCAGCATAAAGCGTGAACAAGATTCGGATTTTCAACACTGTCAGTCAAGTAAGTCAGTGCTTCTATGTGAAGGTTCAGAAACTTGGCGCGCCATGAAGAGCATTTTAAACAAACTACACACGTTCGTCAACAGCTGCCTGCGTTCGATAATGAGGAACAGATGGCCGGAATAATAAGAACAAGCAACAAGGAACTCTGAGAATGAATCAACCAAGAAGCTATCGCATAACAAATATGCGGAAGAAAGTGGAGATAGAGTACACAGTAATTTATTATCATTTAGTATACGATATTGTTGCTGTTGCTACTGTGCATAGTTATACAAAGATGAACACACAACCTTCTGACTTAGTTTATTTAGTTTTGACTATTTTTTGACACCCGACCTCATTGGTGATAAAATGTCTCACATAAGTGGGTTTGATGTTGAGTGATTACTTTTCTACGTGTAAGGCGTCGAGTCAGTGAAAGAGCATTGAATAAACAATCTTAC